TTCTTGTACAGCCGACTGTGTTTGGAGAGCAAGCTACTTTCCTTAGAAAAACAAAAATGGTTTTTCCAATTGCCTGAATTACGTGTGGGTTTCTGCTGGAAAACACTTGAGAGCGAGAACTCTCCAGGTCGCTGATGAGTTTGAAATGGCTCTTCTCTTCTGCATTTTAATGATGTGACCCATTAATTAGCTGGACTGAACCCCAGTAACCACACTGATCTCATCTGGTGCTGTCAAGCCGGCCAATGAGTGGGTCGTAGCTCGTGCTCCTCCTGTTAAACTGGAACTGGTGTTAAACCTCAGGAAAGAAAAGCCATTATCTTTAAGCAACCCAGTAATGTAATCGATGGGCAAGAGACAGCCTAGAAGGTGAAGTGGCCGTGTTTCGACGGTGTGGATGCCCAAGATGAATCCCTCCCCTGGAGCTGCCGAAGGAAAACCCACATGCCCCAGCCCAGTGAGGGTGCCTCTCGTACAAACGTCTGCCCCACTAGTGAGGATGTGAATTAATCCTCAAATTAATGGGATTTTCTTCTCCAAGGATTTCAGAGGATATTGAAATCCACATACATTACATATGGCTCATGTACTTTATAGACAAATTAACCTATTACTCTGGCAAATTTGTTTGTATTTTGAACACAGTCACACCCCCTACGCAGCGTACTAAGGGAAGGTGTATCTTTACTCATTTACTTATTTACACATTAGCATTTCACTTACAGATACACAAACACTCCTGATGAGACTTTGTCTTTACATTTAGAATCACAGAACCACAGGGAATAATAAGAATAAGGATGTGATGTTTGTTTTGCATATGAAGTAAAAAATGAGGCTTCACAAAGTTAAATCTATTCTTGGGGTCAGGGAGAGCCCAGCCACAGAGCCAGGTGGAGAAACCAGCCCTCTGCTTCCAGGCTGGGCCGCTTGCTGTGCTGTGTCAAGATGATGAGATGATGATTCTTCATCTGAAGAGGAGGGCTGAGTGTTCAGTAAATGTGCCTGGACTAAGGCCGGACCGCTTGAAAAGCCTGGTGGCTCAGTCCCTGCCTGCTTCCTCGGGTAAAGAATCTCCTCTGACACCTGATCAAGTCCATGGCTGACATCCTGCTCTCCAGAAGACAGCCTCTCCGAGGGGCCAGCATCCTAGGGCGCACAGCACTGGGGATTGTATCCCCAGCAAGGCCTTCGGTGTGCTGTGAACTCTGCTTTAGGTTCCGTGTGGATTTCATGTTCGCCCTGGGGTTGGGGGAGCAGAGTGGCGGTTTATCCCGTCGGCCCCACCTGCATGTAAGCCAATGAAAGTGTGTCCCGGCTGTCAAAGCTGCCGCTGGTCAGCTGCTCTCCAGAGAACTGGCCCTTGTTTTCCTGTCCTCCTCCTCCTCCTCTCTTTGGCCTGTCCGCTGCTGAGTTACTGACAGCTCACCTAGTGGTGAATGGCGTGTTCACAGAGGGGATGGAGACTCGGCAGTTAAGGGGGGGGTCAGGGTGCAGCCTTGTGCTGAGATGACCTGTGCAGTTGCTCCTGGGAGTGCAGCAGTCATGGTGCGCAGGTCAGAGTTTAGCAGCACAGGTCAGACGTCTTAGTACCTGGGTTTCTGAAGGAAAATTGTCAAAAGAATTTTCAGCTTTGTTGCTGTGCTGTAATGACACAGACGCAAATGTGTGGCCCTGTTTTCCAAACAAGGACCCTCCCGTTTCATGTGAGGTTAATGTCCGGACAGTGTTCCAGAAGAGTTGCAATTACTTCTTCATGTTTCCAATAATAAAATGGCCTTTTAGCTCTTTACATAAAGCCAGTTTGTACTTGGTAGGTTTGGTGGCATTAACATGTAGAGGAAGTAAAAACATGACAGTATTTCTGTAGGAGCTGCGGGAGTTTCGGGGTTTTTCCCAGTTCCCATAGACCGACTGTTCTGGAACCACACAGGACGCTGCAGCGGGGGGCCGGGGGGACAGAGCTGATTGTACTGCTCGCATTAACTTCAGGGCCCCGAGCCTGGCTCCGCCACACCATCTACAGCTGATCCCCTTTGAATTCAGCCTCAGTGTCCCCTGGGCACAGGGACTGATGTGATACTGACGCGGAGCAGTTTCTAAAGTGAGAGTGAAAATGCTAAGACACAGACACAGAATGGGCCCTGCTCGCCAGCCAGGGCAGGACGAATATCTCTTGAGTTTGGGGTTTGGACGTCAGTACGTTTTCTTGTAATAAATAGTTGGCCGAAGAAGAAAGGAAGTGAAGTCAGTGACATTTGGCCTTCCCCGCTGCTCTCTACCGCCCCCCAGGGCCCGCTTGCCAGACCGTCTTCTTCCTCAGACGGGGTTGTCTGTGAGAGGGCGGAAATTGCTTGTCATTAATGGAAGCTGGAGACCCCCTTTCTTCTGTGCCTTGTCAAAGGGCATGCCCGTTGGAAGTTTCGGGTCGGTTATTTACGTTCAGGTAACAGTTACATACCCACAGATCAAGTTGAACTTGTGCCATCAATACATGGCATTTGGCCCAAATCAGGCCATTCTGTCTCAGTAACACGTCCCTTGGTATTTGGGCATGGGGGGTGTCGGGGGTGGGGGTGCGGGGCTGGTGAGAGGGAAGAACTTTCCAGATCCCAGAAGAACTCCGTGTGGTGAAGGTGCAGGGGTGGGTGGCACTGAGAAGCAGGAGGCCCCCACTTCAGGCAGGAGCTCCTTTATGCCCAGGTTGTAGGAGAGCAGCCAGTCGGTTCTCAGCCAAACCCAGTCACACGTCAGGATCAACAGAGTGGCCAACCAACAACACTCCTCAGCACTGATTTGATTAATAAAACCATTGGCAGAAAGTCCAGAAAGGCCTCACCCTGCAAATGATGGGGAGGAACAATACTCGGTGATGAGCAGTGGGCTGAGGTCAAAGCAGAGCCTGGGTCTGAGCCAGATGCTCGGGCGTTCTCCGGTAGCCCTGTTTTGGGGGCGAGTTTGATCTGAGGAGTGGGGAAACAGTAGAGGGTCAAGGGAAGGTAACAGGTTCCTAGCGTGGGATGCGGCAGAACAGTTACATCATTAAGGAAGAAAATGCAGAGAGAGGATTGAACTTGGGCACAAATAACTGTGTGGAACCTCTCCAAGCGTGCAAGAAGGTCATTGCCCTAGGGCCCCCTGGAAGGTAGGAGAAATGCAGGACCTGGGTCAGGAGCCACGAGGGACATGTGGGTATCGATTTGGCACCATGCATTGAAACCACAGGGATAGAGGGAATCATGTAGAAGTAGGAGGTTGAAAGAGCAGATACCCACCGCCAGATTCCGAGGCCCGCAGGCAGGAGGCCCCCGAAGAGGTCGATGGCAGCCTCACAGGCCACGTCAGGGCGTGCGGAGGGTGGCAGCCATTTAACTAGGAACGTGAATAGTAATTAAGGCAGCCTGCCAACAACCTGGCAGCTCCGAGGAGGCGGAGGGGATGAGGAGGGCTGCGTTGGGGGCCCCTGACTGGAGTGGGTGTGTTGGGAGAACTGGAAGGCGCGCAGCGGCGCTGGGGAAGACCCAGAAAGGCGCCGGGCGCACGAGGGACGCTCCGTCCTGTTTCCGAGAAGCTTTGATTACCTCCGGGGCTGGGCGCGCCCCCGCCGTGGTGCCGTTTCCAGCAGGTGCTGTTTGGAGTCGGGACCACGTCGCGTTGCCCACACACTCTCGCCTCCCCCACTTGCTGCGTCAGGCGGGAGCCCTCCTCCCCATCCTGCGCCCGCCCTGGGGTCCCTGATGTGTGGGAGCTGGGCCGGCAGCCCCGGAGGGCCGGAGGGCCGAGAGCACTCGGCGCCGCTGTAGCTGAGACGGACGGGGCGCCCCTCGGCCGCGGGAGGCCCGTCGGCGCCGGCACCTGGGCAGTTTGATCACCGGCCCCCTGCCCGGTGTTGCCGGTGTTCCCTTCCACTTGGACCACCTCTCACTTCCCACCTGAAGCCTCTTGCCCGGATTTTTACCTTTCTTTTAAATGCATCCCTTTCGTGTAAGATGGCTTCTAGCTCTCCTGGGGAGTTAGTTTGAAGACATCAGCCAAGCTTGCCGTTGGAAGTGTTTCAGTCGTCTCTGGGATATTCTTCCCTGGGTGGCGGGTAAATTCTGCTGCATGGCTCCGGAGCAGAGTCAGGACTCCCCGAGCTCAAGTACAAGCCCACTCCCACGGGATTACTGACGTTAGACAGGTGCTGCGGCTTCTGTGTGCCTTGGTCTCCTTAGCCGTTGCGTGGGGGTGATGCCGCTGAGGAGCAAAAGGACTTGTGCCTCTGGTGGGCTCGGCACGTGGCCCACACTCAGTAACTGTCCGCATTAGCCCGCTGCTTAGGCCCCTGGACTGTCCACACTGCCTATAGCCTGGAGCCGTTACAAATAGGAATCTATCCCCAGATACAGTGCCTCAGGCCACACCTTTGTCATCGGCCACTCAGCATGTCCGAGCCTGGGCCCCCTCTCCCTGGGACGGCCCTCCGGCCTCTGCTGCCCCCACCCTCCCTGCCTCCACCCCATCCAGGGGCCGCCTGCACTCGAGCAGCCCCGTGTCTCACTTGCTGAGGGCCTTCCACACAGTCCTGTTTTAGGCTGAGGGCTCTCGGGAGCAGAAATGTTGATTCTGAGGCTAAGTCTTGCCTCTTACAAGTGTCTCCTAGTCCCAGTCTGTGAGATAGAATCGATTTCATGAGCCAGTTACTGCTCTTCTAACACTAAAATCACCCCGGCGTGGATGGAAAAAAAGTGTAAACTGAGACCAAATTAAAACAATCAGAAAATGGTTCTTCCCAGTCTCTTTCAAAAAACAGTGCAATTCTTTGCAGAACGACGGGGGTAATTTCAAAGTCTCCTTGCAGCGCCAGCATTCTGAGACACCCAGAGAAGGGAGAAGTACAAATAGGTGACTGGAAAGGAAGACATAAAGGCTGCCGTTCTGTGACCTGGGGCCGGGGCGTTCTGCGGTGCCGTGTGCGCTGCTGATGCTTTGGGTTCCATCCCCTTTGCCTTTGCTCCCAGGGAAGGCCGTTCAAATGCCCACATCAGAGGAGATTACCAAAGAATCGGAGATGTCATGCTGAAGAACTTCCAGGCCATGAAGGTGAGCCACTTGGGGTTTAGGGGGTGCGGGTTCCCTACGGAGAATAATGCCAGGGCCACCAAGGCCTTGGCTGTGACCATGTGTGTGAACACACGTGGCCTGATTTGACATCTACGTTTAACACAACTCTGGGTAGAAGCTTCTGTCCTTTATAGATCATTTTATTTGGAAGCATAATGGGGGAGGCACTTGTAGTACTTTTTTTTCTCCAAAAGCTTTGTGTTAGAACCAAAACAACAGGTATTTTCTGTGAATAAATCATTCAGAGCTCGTTTAAAAAAATTTTGTAGACAAAACAGTGTTCAGCTGACTGATCATTTCACTTTGAGTTGTTTTGGCTTCTTGTAAGTGTGACAAAAAACATTGGATTTGGAGTTATACAGGAATTCAGGTCAATTCTGTGACTTCAGGTTGGTATGCAAAGCAAATACATTTTTAACCCTCCAGCCATATCTACAGGGAGAAAAATAGGTGGGGAGCATGAGCATATACCCAAAGAAGCCAGGACGGCACAGACTGGACAACATATTCTGCCTGGTTTGAAATTTGTCCCATCTCTATGTATCTGAAATTTTCATTTTTGCATTTTCATTTTAACCCATTAATAATTCTTTTAATGTAGAATGTTTTTTAATTCATGTAACATCTCTTGAATACAAATACATTTATATTTGCACCTTAAAGTAATTTCCTATCATCTTAGCTGCCCAGAACCTGTCTAATAGCCTTACCTTAATAACTGAGCAAGCTCATAAGCCCCTAAAGAAGGCAGGTGACGTATTTTGCCACCATTCAGCCCATCCCACCATCCAACCATCTGTCTGTCCATCTGTCCATCCAGTACTAGTTGAGCACCTACAATGTGTAAGGCACTCTGAGAATAAAAGTTATTGTTGGGATTTGAACTAATTACCAAGAATCTGGCTTAGTTGTTCAGTGTTTAATTTTTTCCTCTTAAAATGATACATCTCATGAGGTTGGACAATGAGAGGGTCACAGTGAGGAGGTAACACAAAAAAAATATGATCTAAAGCTATTTGAGATTTCCAGCTTTTAATAAAGATCAAAATATTAAGATATTATTTAGTAGACCCTGGGCTATTGCTCATTTTTTAAAGAATGCAACACTCCCCTTTGGGCAGTGTCAGAGGCCATGGATGCGATCAGTCAGGACTACAGAATCCTGTGCAGAAAAAAGCAAAGACTTGTCTCAAATGTCCCCCAACTGTATTTTAGTGCCATAAGTAAGAGTGGTGCACAAAACTCAGATGTAACAGTAACAGACATCTTTGCACTTCCCATCGTGTTTTTTTATTAGTATATTTTATTTTTAGAGCACTTTAAGGTTTAAAGATTTAGTTTTAAAATTGAGCAGAAAGCTTACACAGTACGCGATATTCTTCCCTACCCCCCCCCACAACTGCCCCATAGTTCTACCCTCTTGCTTTGCTGCAGCATATTTGCTGCATCTGATGAACCCATGCTGATACATTATGATCTAAATCCATAGTGTCCTTGAGGGTTCCCGCCTGGCGTCCTGTGTGCCGTGGGCTCACCCGCCTAGACATTTCCGTAGAGGGCATTTTCACCGCCCTGACTGGCCTCCAAGTTCCTCCTGTTCATCCCTCCCCTCCCGTGGAGCCCTGGCGACCGCTGACCTCTCCCTGGCCCATAGTCTCGCCTCTTCCAGAATGATATATCTCAGGGGTCACAGCAGGCAGCCTTTTCAGATGGGCTTTTTTCTCTTGTTAAAAATATCCTTTTTTCTCTCTTCTCTGACATGTTTTTGTTACTCTTGCACTTCAAATTATTCTTCTCATAGGAAGCGGCTTCTCCCCTGTTCTGTGCTCCTCGCAGCAGGTCTGGTTTACACCTTTCCTCACCGTGCTCCCTTCTTCCGAGAAGGTCCACCCGCCCAGGGCAGCTGCCGTCTGCGCTTTCTCCCTCCTGGGAGGCGTGAGCTCTCGCGTGGGCTCTGGGGACAGCAGTGGGGACCTGCCAGCTCATCCCCCCCACACAGCCACACACCACCACTTGGGGACAGTCCCTCGAGTCCTCTTTAACCAGCTTTCCTCGGTGGCTGTCCCTGGGGGAGCTGGCATTCCATAGACCTCTGCGCTCCCCCTGCTCACCTGCCACCTAAGACCTCCTACAAATACACCCCCTCTCCACTCACCCATCCTTTCTCCTGGCTCTAGTGAGTGGGCGTTCTCACCTTCAGTCAGCTTGCGGGTCTGGCTGGCATCTCAGTTCCTGCGCCCCGTACCACAGCATCCGTAGCACAGGCTCTGTGCACGCAAACTAAAAATAGGTGGGGAGGCGCAGAGAGCTGCTGGCAGCCTTTTTAAGGAATTGTTTGGGTTGTTTTCTATTGTGCTTGTTATTGCTGATTTTAAAGAATGTTTGTGAAGTGTGGAGGAGAGCAGCAGAAGGTTCTAGAGACGTAAAAGCCCAGCTTAGCTCTTTTGCCCAGAATGTTAGGGTGACCTGCTGCTTGCAGTGTCCTTCCTGCCCCACCTGTCACCCACCTGAGCATTTACCTGCATGTACAGGGGCTCAGCAGGAATGCTGTCACCTGCTTCAGCTGGACTGGCTGCTCCCATAGCCTCTTCTTGTGACTGAGGAGCTGGGCCAGGGCCCCAGTACCCATCTGAAAGTCACAGATACCCAAATTGTGATCTCTGCCCCAAGCAGTGAACTTCCAACTGGAAACATCTGCCCACATGCACAAGGCCCTTCAAAATCCACACAAAGGAAAGGAGGTCCTCTTTCACCTTGACCCCCCGCCTGCCCTCTAGGCTGGGCCCTCCCTGTCTGTCTCCTCCATCTACCACCTCTTGCCCTCCTCCTCCCCGAACTCCTGCCACTGCTGCTTCTGCCTCTCACAGTTTTATGTGCTGGGTGACTCCACCAGCCTCTCGGAGAGTCTCCTTCCCTCCCATTGAACCATCCTCCCAACCACCATCTACCTTACAGGCACACTGCCGAGGCTCACAGCCTCCTTGCCTGTCTGTGGTTGGGAGAGCCTCACCCTCTAGCCCCAGACCATCTTCCCAGGCTCCTTCTCCCCGTCCTTCACCTTCTACTCTGTGCTCCAGTGACTGTGAACTTGCCACTCCAGGTGCTCAGGTCCTCGCGAGATTCCTGCCTCGGCTGGGTGCGTGCCGTCATTGATCTGCTCATTAATGCATGCAGGCAACAGACATTTATTAAGCACCTACTGTATATATCAGGCCCTGAGGATATAGTGACATGACAGACATGCTCTTTTAAGTTCAAATAGGGGACTGCACACATGATAACTGTGCATAGAGCTGCTTGCATACACACACATGCACACACACGCCAAGGGCACATATAATCTGTGGAATCCCAATAAACTCTGTGGTTTGTACCAATGTCGATGTTGCTATAGTTACACAAATGTTAGCATTAGGGGAGGCTAGTAAAGGGTACATAGGACCTCCCGTACATTTTTTTTGCAACGTCCTATGTATCTGTATTTCAAAAAAAGTAAATAAACCCAACAGGGGTGTAATGTGATAAGGACTAAGGCGGATGAATAGTCTAAGAACAGGAAGATAGAGGAGTCCCTAAAGGTGTGAGGGAGGCTGCTGAGACTAGTAGGGGTCCTGAGTAGGGGAGTGTTGTGTGCAGAAGCTCTGGGTGCGAGTACCTGGCACATTCAAGTCCAAGTTGTTGAGTAGAGGTCCTGGAGTGATTGGCAGGAGGCCATGAGGGAGGGGTGACACCCTAAGGGCCCTGTGTGAAGGCTGAAGTTACTCTGAAGCTTGTCCCAAGGTGATGGGAGCTCTTGTCCTATTCCAAGCAAGAGGCATTGTGCTCAAGTGCATTGTAGGAAGTTCATTTTGGTGACTGATGCACGTTAAGTAGAGGGTTGGGAGTGGAGGCGGGGATCCCAGTGGAGACACCTTTATGGTGGTGGTGCTGGTACAAGGCCAGAATGAGGGCAATGATCATGGAGATGGAGATGGGAGTAGGCATGATGCTTTTAGGAGGTAGAATTGGCAGGGCTTCGTAAAGGATTTTTAAAAATGAGGGAATTTGAAATGTTCTCCAGGTTTTTCTATCCTGAGTAAGTAGCAGCACCAATCCTAAGGGTAGAGAATCGGGGGGCAGCCCCAAGTGAAGAGGGAGATGTTGGGTTTATGGTTGGACTCAGTACATTTCAATCTCTTTATGGAGCAAGGAGTGGAGCGGTCAGGATGGGGGAGTTGGCAGCACGCAGACGGTAAGCCCGCTCAACTAGGTTGACAAGAGCTGCCGCGCTCTTGTCCTGGAGTGTCCTCTGTTCCTCCGCCTATTGCCCTCATCTGCCTAGAAATGTTCTTCCCTTGCAGTCCTTCCCCACCTGCCATGAGGATTTAATTCCTCCTCCTTCAAAACTCTATCATCACACTGTTAACCTGTGTCTGTCTGTCTCTTCCACGGCCTGTTAAAGGAAAACAATGTTCAGTGACGCCTGCCGAAGTTAGTAAGGCCGACTTTACCCAGGCCCATTGTGATAGACGCAGGGCCCACCGCAGTGGGATTTTACAGGTGGGGAGGGGGTATGATTGGGCTCAGCTCCAAATATGGCATGGGCACGTGGGAATTTGTAGCCAAAGTGGGGGTCAGGGGATGGAATGTTAGTAAGAGGAAACATCGGGGGAAAGGGAGAATCGATTCTGGCTGAACCAACAGATAGGTTTCTTTACTGAAGACAAGCCAGGGTGATCAGACATCACCTGGGGGGGGCAAGGGGATTCAGATCCCGATGTTGAGGTATCCAGGGTGGTTGCAGAGATGGGCCCAGCAGAAGGTTCATGGAAGTTTGGTCAAGCAAAGGATCTGTGTCCAATCCCAGAACAGTAGGGACCATGTCTAATTCTCACCAGCTCTCCAGAATCTAGCAGAGCAGCTAACTCATGGCAGATACTCAGTTATTATATGAGCAAAAGCAGTGAGTTAAACAGAAATACATGTTTTTAATATATGGCATTAATGAAATGGCTGTAGTCTGTCACTCTGTGAGGTCAGGAGGCCACAGTCCCCGAAGGCACTCCTGTCCATTTGTCTCCCCTCAGTATTCCCAGTTTCACTTTGAAAAGAATATTTACACCTCCAAAATTACATACACTTCATATTTACTAATCCCTGTGTATGTCAAGCTTCTCGGTGCTTTAGTAGAGCTATTGATTTCATCCTGAGTACTTACTTGAAAGAATGAAGTGAACGGTGAAATGTGAAAATACACAGAACTGAATGACGTGAAACAGTGCAAGCGAAGGTGCTCTTCCCTGCCGCAAGTGACCCGGCCTGGCGTGTGCCCCTTGCCTTCCCCCCCACCAGCCGCTGGCGGCTCACCTGTGGAAGCACGGCGAGGCTCTGGAGGCCCTGGAGAGCAGCGTCCGGAGCTCCCGGCGGCTGGAGGGCTTGTGCCGAGACTTCGAGCTGCAGAAGGTGTGCTACCTGCCCCTCAACACCTTCCTCCTGCGCCCGCTGCACCGGCTCATGCACTACAAGCAGGTCCTGGAGCGGCTGTGCAAGCACCACCCGCCCAGCCACGCCGACTTCAGGGACTGCCGAGGTGAGGTGGGCGGCGCCCCAGACGGAGCCGCGCCGCGGGAGCTCTGGGCTGCGGGCCCCACGTTTCCATGATCCCCGCTTTGTGTGCCTGGCCACGTAGCTCCCTTACCTCCTCATCTATCCCTAAAGAAAGTGATAATGGTCACTAGTGCTTCTTTCCCTATCCCGGGTTGCATGTGTTTTCTCCTTTGATCCGGGTGCTTTGGTGCAAAGAAGCCTGGAGGCACTGCGCCGAGAGTCAGCAGCCTCCAGAGCTTCCCTCTACCTGGTACACGGGTGAGACTCATCACTGCCTCCTGCGGCCAGTTGCAGAAACTGGCTGATATGTACTACTGCTTATTGCTACTGGGCGTACGTCACGTGCTAGCCCCCTTAATAACCAGGTCACCTGTTTGAACTCCTAATCTCCAGGACAGCCCTGCAAGGGAGGGATGAGCTCGTTTTACTTGTCAGGGCTACTGAGACCAGAGAGATTAAGGAACCTGCCCAGAGACACACAGCCAGAGAGTAAATAATGACTTGGAATCTAAACCTAGAACCCATGTTCTTGACCTTCCTATCCTACTGTCTCGTAATTTACCCACCGTCACTCCCTCAACACCTGGGCCAGGTACCATGCCAGGCATATAATAACATTAGCACCTTTATTCCTTTAACAGCCCCATGAGGTAAGTGTTATCCCGTTTTACAGATGAGAAAACAGGCCCAGAGGAGGTGAGGGACTTGTGAGTGTCACTCAGCAAAAGGTCAGAGCTGGTGCTCCAGACCATGCTTTCCACACCGGGTCACACATTGTCTTTTTGAACCTGAGTCGTCTGCCTCGTGTTGTGTGTGGTCTGTTAACGTCCGCACTCCCTGGCTGGAACCGTGAGGCCCTCGAGGGCCAGGGCCCTGAGCCTGCGGCCGTGTCCTCTACGCTCTATGTACGTGGAGTGGGCTTTCCGCGGTGGCTCTTGACAGATGACATGAGTTTGTGCACCACTAGTATGTCAAGGCCCATCTCTCCCACCTAAAGTATCATGAACACCTCTGATCTGTTCAGCGACTGTGTTCTTCTAACTGTGTCTCTTACTCCTTTGCTTAAAACCTGGGTGACACCTGATTCCCTCAGGCTAAAGTCAAAAAGCCCTTCAAGATCTGGCCTCCGACCAACCTCTCAGGCAGCAGATACACGCAGAGCACCTGCAGGGCACTAGGTTTGTGAGTGAGTGGAACGGACGTGGCCCCTGCTCGGAACCCAGGTGTGGACAGGGGCGGCACCCGGGCCACCACTGGCATGTGAGAGGAAGTGCTGTGCAGTGGGGACAGCGGCCTCTGGCCCAGCCTTCGGGGCTTGGGGGGGGGAAGCCTTCTGAGGGAAAGGATATCAAAGCTAAGAGCTAACGTATAAATAGGAGTTTTCCTGGAAGAGGGGCGGGTGTGGAGTACAGGTTTGGGAACAGCACATGCAGAAGAGGGGACAGCGAGGGGAACATTCCTGAAAGTAGTTCTGTGTGGCTACTGTAGTGTGGAGCATGGAGGGATGGCTGCAGAGATGAGGCTGAAAAGGTAAGATCATAAACTCTACAAGATGTCAGCCTAAAAGCAGAGGGAAGACGGGGAGGGGTTTAAGGAGGGGAGTGGTGACACGGGGCTTGTTCTAGGAAAAGACAACCCAAGACAAGATTTGGCAGAGTAACTAAGACATTGGCAATTCACCAGAGGGGAACGGAAACAGCCTGTTATGGGGCTGGTTTGCTGCAGACCGTCAGTCTTTAAACAAGCCGTGCCGCCTCCTGCCCCCACGTCTTGGTGTATTCATGTGCTCCTGCTTGGAGTCGTTGCTGCCATCTTCTGGTCCTTTCCTGGCACATTGCTGCTGCTCCTTGGGCCTCAGATGGTGCCTGACCCTTGAGGCTGGGTGACCCTCTGCCCACCAACTTGTCCTGTCTGATTGGCATCGCCTGCTGGCCGCAGCTGGGTGGGTGGCACTGAGCTGTACAGATGTGTCACACAGGAGGTCTCAGGCTCCTGTCTGGATGTATATTTCCTAAGCTTGAGGGGTGCCAAGTGCCAAGGAAGAGCTGTTCCCAAGTGCCTGCCCCCAGAGTGCCCAGGGGCCATGCTGCCATCATTCTCCCTTGAGCCCCAACCCTCCCCAAGCTTTGGTGCTAGTAACTGTTTATTGGACTAAATCTGCTGGTAATGTTCACAGAACTAGCAAATTTTCAAATTGTCAGAGGGCTGACACAAAGCACTGTGTAATAGGCCCAGAAGCATTTAATCTACATCCTCTGGGAGAGAGCAAAAAACCCAAAATGCTTTCCTTCCCAAGCTGAAGTGCTGGGGGAAAGGAGGATTCAGGGTTCTGAAGATGAAAGCTCAGCTGAGGAGCACATACTCTGTTTACCAAGATGGTTGCAGCTGCGAAGCTACCCTTGCCTGCATGTGGGCTCACCGGGCCCGAGCTGGCAGGCAGACATGCTTGCATACTGTCCAGTGTGGGAAAAGGAGCTAATGCCCAAAGAGTCCAGGTTTGGATGGCATGCACATGCACAGGAGCTGACCTGGTTGAGTATTGTTGTCAAGAAAGCAAGAATTTCTGCAGAGGCATGAACTGGGATGCGCTAGAGCATTTGTTACCCAAAAGGGTTGCACTGTCAGTTAGACTCCCTCCCAGAAAGATTCCCTCCTTTGTCCCAGATTTTTCTGTGGCCTCTCTGTTCTTTCCAGGCAACAGAAGGAGGTAGAAATATCTCGACTCTGGGAACAGATTCTGGGTACTCTTAGTCCCCTGCTGCTTGCCCTCTATGTCAGTGAGTGATTGTAATTGAAGGACCACTGCACACCATGGAGTTAGGAAGGCGTCATTTACATTTTCATGATGCTTTGGGAAACTAAAGCAAAGCAAATACATACATAAAGCAAACCACTGGATTTTTATTATGATGAGAATTAGCATTTTCTCTAGGATGGCTTCTGACATGTTCGGCTCCTGGAGATATTGCTCTAGAGAGTTGAGCTCAAAGACTTTGTGGGGGAAGAACCCTGCCAGCCATTAATGCTGCAGGCGTTCTCTTTCCTTCATCAGCTGCTTTGGCAGAGGTTACTGAAATGGTTGCACAGCTTCACGGTACGATGATCAAGATGGAGAATTTCCAGAAGCTGCATGAACTCAAGAAAGATCTGATTGGCATCGACAATCTTGTGACTCCAGGAAGGGTAAGCAGCTGTGCTCTGTGTGTGTGGCAATAAAGCCAGAAAGGCTGTATTTAAGGGACTTAAATTTGAACCTCTGAATATGGATACTCCAAGTTAAAATACGCTCCTTCTGAGTAGGGGTGATGCCTTGAACCTTAAAGTGACATTCGAAAATGTGGTAGGAGACCAAACAAGCCTTTGACTTCATATTCTGCTTTTTCTCTTTAATAGTTGAGTTCCTAGTTGAACCTTTCCACCCTACATGTTCTGAGAGGATTTGAGATAGCTTATTTTAATTTTTAAAATTTAGATAAATGAAACTGGAAAATAAAAGCAGTTTTTTAAAAAAAGAACAGGATGAAATGGTGATAGGAAGACCTAGGAAAAGCTAATGCATGAAAGCAGGCTGTAAATTCTCATGTACCCATGAAAAGTCTTTTCGAAAGATTCAATTTTCTGTACATAATATAATTTTAATTAGGAATTTAAATTGCATTTTTAGCTAGAACACAACTGTGGGGAAGATGCAAGCTCACTTATGCTATTAACCTTCACCTACCAGCACCCTTCGTGAGATGTAGGTCATTCATAATTAAGCAGGGCCTCATTGCATAAACACGTTCCTTCCAGGCCAGGGAGAATATAAAAATACAGGGTAGCCTGCCTTTTGTCAATTCTCTTCCTAGGAAGCAGTCATTGCCCAGGAATCAAAGATATTAGTCAGTTGCTACAACTCATCAACTCCCTCTGTGGGCTCTTTATCCCTGTAGCTTCCTCCTCTCAAACTGTACACCGTCCCGCAGGGGATTATGGCCCCTGTACTCTGCTGCATACCTGCCATCGTCTTCAGACACGTCCTAACTCCAGTGTGTCAGGGGCCTGACTTTAAATCTGTGTAACTTAGGAAGATGAGGAAACCTCCCTGTGTTTTTGCGCATTTGTGTCAGAAAGCCTAATTACAAAACCAATCGGAAAACCAGTTGTGAAAGGTTGTCAGAAGACTTATGTGTTAAGTGCTGGGTGGAAATTACAGCTAGGAATTGCTTCAGCTCCACTGGTGAGAAAATTCTGCCAGGCCTCAGCAGATAACAACCACATTTACCCACCCACACAGAAGCCCTGTGGAATCAATGTAATTTCCTCCTAACTCTGGACATTATGAAATATTTACAGATTATGCTAGGTGGCAAACGGGCCATCTGTAAAGGATTTCTTCTGTAAAGAACTTCTTTTGAGGAAAGGCTCCCACGGTGCTCTAAAGAACAGGATTGGAGCAGGTGGCCCAGGGTTCAAATCTGGCTCCACCAGCGGGGATGAGGCATGGAACATTCTTGCCCTTCAGCAACATGGGGACCATTTCCTCTCCTCATAGTTCATAAGAATCAAATGAGATTTAATGTGCAGAAATAGCAAAGAAATGAATTATGTCCTCCTCCCCCACCTACATGTATTTGAAGAGACTAAATAACACTTATCATAAAGCTACTGATTACTAGACATCATAAGCATTTAGCCAGATATGGACTCTGTCACTCACTAGGTGACCTTGGGCAAGTTTCTGAATCATTTTGCTTCTCAGTTTATCTGAAAAATGGGGTGATAAGAGAACTTACAGGCTCATGTAACCAGCACATGCCAGGCACATAACTACGTGCTAACTGAAGGGGATGCCATTATTACTTGTAAAGGTGAAGTCAGATTTTGGTGGTAACTAACTTCAGGCCTGCCTTATTTCCATAGTCCTTTGCTCATTAACTGGCTTCAGAGCCATTGATGGGTTAGTCAACCTTGAAGGAAATGGGAAGGAGGGATCAGAGGCCCTTGTTGTCATTAATTGATTTTAAATTATCATATAACCTAATGGGTAGAAGGAGGACTCTGACAGAGTTGTGTACAGATGGAATTTTAAAAATTCAGTGTAAAGGTAGGCAGGTATTTTTAGAGATGCACCCTCTGCTGCCTGGTGTCTAATTCCTAATGTGGCTTCTATGCATAATCCCACTCAGCCTTCCGGTGGTGTGGGTCTAAGGTGGTCTCTTGTCCTGGAAGGCAGGCTCTCTCCCTGAGGCAGAAAGGCCCAGCACACCTGGCCTAAGCTAGGCTCCCTGGGGGTGCTTCCCTATCCTGGGAATTGGGTGCCTGAGAGTTTTGCCTGGCCTGGTCTTCCAAGTTAGAGGAGCTCATTCAGGAAGGAAGCAGGACTGGATGGGATGTGTGGGGTTCATTTGGCTAAAACTTAAGAGGCCTGGATATCTTTGATTTCCCTCTAGAAGGAAGCGGCTTGAGCTTAAAGATAGTAGGGGCCTTTAATTTTTTTCCCTCTTCCGTTAGGATTAAAAAAAAAAAAAAAAAAAAAAAAAAACCTAAGCAGAAGACATTTTGCATCTCCAGCCCTCAGACAAGGATGGCTGAGCCCTGGCCCTTCTGTCCCCTGCCGCCGGAGCCCCTGGAACACAGACTGGCTCCCTTTGCTTTTCTGCAGTGAGCACCTCAGGCTCCTCGCCTTCTTCCCACAAAAGGAACAGCTGAGATCCCAGAATTCATTAGAAAACACACGTGTTCCTGATGTGCGAGGTGGCAGCAGGAGTGGGAGCACCACGTGGGGTCAGCACCCCTCACTCTGATTCCCTTCAGTGATGGAAGCAGCCCCGAGACCCGTCTCCTATTATAGCAATGATGTTTGATAGCATCCACCCCACAGCCCTGCAAGAGTTTGTTGTTACATGTTACTTTGTTGGTCTCCAAAATATGTCAGTTAAATTACCAGCAGACACATTTCAGAGAGCACCAAAGAGTTGAGTCAGGCTGTGCGTAAGTCAGGCTGTGATTCTCTGGAATCAGAATGAGTTGGCTGAGTCCCTATTCTTGGCTCAGTAGCTGCGATGAGCACAGAAAAACCTCTTGGTGTAGGTGTTCAGGAATCTGTTGGTATGTTTAACAACTGCCCTGCTGTTTAGTGCCTGAAAACAACCTTGTAGAGTATGTGATGGTTTTGCAAGTCAGGAATTGGGCAGGGCTCAACCAGGTGATCCTTCCGCTCTGTGTGACCCTGACGCGGTGCCAGGTGGGCTGGCCTTGAGGGTTCAAGCCTGACGCCCAGTGGAGATGGCGGGAGGATGTGCACAGAGAGCCCGTGAGCGGCCTCGCTAGCCTGGGTTCAGGGCTGTCTTAGTGCATACATGCAGCTCAGAGTTCCAAGAGCAAGGGTCTCAGGGACAAAGCGGAGGCTACGTGTCATTTCATGACCTATTCTCAAAAGTCACATAGGTCAGGTCACTTCCATCAGTCACCAGCCCACCTACATGCAAGGAAGAGGCCCGAGAGACTCTATGGAATGAGTGCTGAAGAACTTCCAGCCGTGTGTTAGAAGCAGCACTGTGGAAGTTTGGCGGTTCTTGAGTAAGTTAGCCACAGAATTTCTGTATGACCCAGCAATTCTGCTCCTGGGTATATACCCAAGAGAACTGAAAACAAGTGTTGAAACAAAACCTTGAACATGAATACTGTTCACAGTAGCCAAAAGACTAAACAACCCAAATGCCCATCAACAGTTAAGTGAGTAAATTAAATGTGGCATAACCATATAAATGAAATATTTAGCCACAGAAAGGAATGAAGTTCTGATCCATACTACATGACTGAAACTTGAAAACATGACGGAGTGAATGAAGCCGGACACAAAAGGCCACCTGTTACATGATAGGATTTATTTTGAAATATCCAGAATAGGCAAATCCATAGAGAAAGAAAATAGATTGGCAGCTGCGAGTGGCCATGGGGGTTCCTTTTGGTGGATGAAAAGTTCTGGACCCAGACAGTAGTGGTGGATGCACGCTGTAAGTGCACTAAGGGTCATGAATGGTAAATTTTATGTGTATTTTACCACAATTTTTTAAATGATAGTTTTGTGGGGGTTTTTTTTAAGTGCCCCTGAATGGCCTATGCCCTTAAGGATTGATAGTCTGGGAGGAAGAGCTTTTTAGACACACTGGCTGTCACTCTTTTATCCTAGAACAATGACTAGCTTTTGAGAACCAGAGTTTTAAGTGATGGAGAACAGTCCTTTTTTCATAGTCCTCTCCTATGGCTTATCTGTCTTCCTGGGGCCCTGCTGCCACTCGGATCTGGCTGGGGGTCCTTGTCACCTCCCTCCCAGCAGGAAGCCCACAGGGCCTGGGGTCAAGAACGTGGTCATAGGTCTGGTGTGGGCCAGCCCCTGGCCCAGGCCGTGCAGCTGCAGGCATGCTGCCAGGCCTCGAGCGCGGGCTTCCTCTCCGTTGGAGCTTCACAGGTTCTGGGGAAGGAGAGGAGCTTAGGAAGGGCTTAGCACAGCACTCAGGAAGCAGTAGCCGATGCTGATTTTTACTGGGAACAGGGTACTCGTGAAGCCATAATCTCCCATGCTCTCCATGGCACCACTTCTCAGGGTCTGTTTTCTCCGCAGGAGTTCATTCGCCTGGGAAGCCTCAGCAAGCTGTCCGGGAAGGGGCTCCAGCAGCGCATGTTTTTCCTGGTAAGTGGTGAGCGCAGTTTGTCCCCATGCCCATGGGGTCACAGGGCTGGCTGGCCTCGGCCACCAGAGTGGGGTACCTGGAAGGCATGAGGAACAGCCGAAGCTGCTCAGACTGGGGCCACTGACATCAGAGTTATGCAAGATTTTGAAAGCATACTTTCTGTCCTTGGTTTCAAATGGAGCTGCGTTTGTCTCAGGTGCACTCGTCCTTGCTCCTCTAGTTCAACGATGTCTTGCTGTACACGAGCAGGGGGCTGACGGCCTCAAATCAGTTTAAAGTCCACGGGCAGCTTCCGCTCTTTGGCATGACCGTGAGTATGCACTGTGGGCATGGGATGGGGGCCTCTCGCTCCAGGCTGCCTGCAGCTTGCAGACCAGGCTAAAGGGGACAAGGGCCGGTGACAGTGACATGAAGAAGGAGAAGGAGGGACTTGACAAGGGAACCATACCATCACAGGCTCCATGGGAAACCTAGACCTCATTGGGGTTCCCTAGAGGGGGCTCTGGGACATGGCTGCCCTTCCTGCACACAGGACATGGGGTATGTTCCTTCTAGAATCAAGAGGCAAGCTGACGTGGCCATGTGGTGTGAAGTCGCCTCTCACTGTCCCATGTCTGGCCCCAGGGGCCCTAAAGACAGCCCTCACCATCTAGCAGTGGAGAAACGGAGCCCACCTCCTAGACCAGGGAGCCACCCAAGATGTGCCAGTAGGCGGGGCTCTGTGTTCTGTGACCCTTGGCTGACAGATGCAGACAGGCTGCCAGTCTGCACAGGATGATTTCCCTGGATTATACCCACATGCTCCTCACTGGTTGGACAGAGGGAAGTTTATGGGCTCTGCCAAAAAACTCGACGCATTTTGACCTTCCTTTCATTTTCCGACTGGTTTTTCTGACTTGGTTCCCTGGGGGCGTAGCCAGCTTAGAGAATGTTTGAAAATGCATCTAAACGTCTCACTCACTTCTTGGGGGTAACGTTGTGAACACTCATCCCACAGATAGAGGAGAGTGAAGATGAGTGGGGCGTGCCCCACTGCCTCACGCTCCGGGGCCAGCGGCAGTCCGTCGTCGTGGCCGCCAGGTAACCAGGACCCTGACCACTTACCTGTCTGCCCTTCCACCTGCTGTGGTCTGAAAACCTGACGGCCACCTTTCTCTCAGTTCTCGGTCCGAGATGGAAAAGTGGGTTGAGGACATACAGATGGCCATTGACTTGGCAGAGAAAAGCAGTGGCCCCGCCCCTGAGTTCCTCGCCAGCAGCCCCCCGGACACCAGTAAGTGGGGAGGGCAGCCTTCCTGGCACAGTGGAGCCCGCCGCCTCTAGGAACAGCCATGGTGGGGGGCGGCGGCTCCGGCTTAGAGGGGGGCCTCTGTGGCATCTAAAATCGCCCTACCAGGTGTGCTGTATGTCCAGGGTCATTTGCGTTAAAAGTGAAATATGAAGGAACTTTTTTTACTTTTTTTCTGGATGTTAAAAAACACACACACACACCTTAAAAGAGTGTGAGTGCGCAGGACGTCGTCACCTTTTCTGGGCAGCACTACCGCCTGCCCCACAATGTCAGCATCTGGGGAGAAAACCGGGGCCATCCTCCACGCTGGGCCAGCACCGCGCGCGTGCGGCCCAGGGTGTCGGAGGCCGCTGGGCAGAGGGGAGGCTGGCCTGCCCCTGGGTGCGGCCCTGACGGGTGCAGGGCTGCTCGCGTGAGTTCCCGCCTGGTGGGTGCACGGGGGCCCCAGGGCCGGACCGCTGGAGCCTCCCACCCCTCCAGTCCCGTCGGGCTCCTGCGGGGTGGCAGGAAACGGGCACTCTCCCTGGGGAGCAAGGTCACACACGCCTTCCGTGCCCCGTGCAGAGTCCCCGGATGAGGCTGTGGCGGCCGACCAGGAGTCGGAGGATGACCTCAGCGCCTCGCGCACGTCGCTGGAGCGCCAGGCCCCGCAGCGCGGCAACACCATGGTGCACGTGTGCTGGCACCGGAACACCAGCGTCTCCATGGTGGACTTCAGCGTCGCTGTGGAGGTGCGGGTACTCACCAGGGGGCACGGGTTCCGGGGGTGGGGGGTGGGCGCGTCTCCTGGCCCTCATTCGGCCCCGCTTGCCAGCACGGTGGTCACTGTGCTCCCCGGGCCCCACCACCGTCTTTCCTCACAGGGGAGGCGTGGGCAGACTATCTGGGCATTTTGCCTGGAAATGGCAGCCAGTGCAGGCAGGTGGCCACCCCCAGGTGCCAGGGTGGACACGACCTGAGCAGCCCCCACCCCAGCCCTGAAATCGGGTGTTCAAGGGCTGAGGCCATGTCAGAGCTGCATCAGTGGTCGTAACCTGGCTCTTCGGGTGGGCCCCGTGTGGTCTTTGGTGATCTGGCTCTCCCCGGGGTGCAGCAGTGAATCTTCCAGGGTTGCATACAACCCTCCATTCCCTAGGAATCCTCTAGGCCAGGTCCATAATCCTTCCCCTTTCAGGGTCAGGCCCAGAAAGCTCTAGAACTGCAAGTGCCACTGGTTTTTAGAACCAAACCTGAGCTGTCATGAAGCTGCTTAGTTTTGTGTGAACATTCACGTCTCACACGTAATTACCGTATTTGATTCCGGGCTGCTGCCCCAGGCCCCACTGCTGGGGGTGCGCACCATTTAGTAGAGGCATTGGATTCTCTGAAAGCTGAGGTTTATCTCCTAACCACGCCTGCCTGGCCCAGAAAGCAGCATGTGAGAGGCTGAGCAAAGAGCAGTATTTTGCTTTTCGAACCAGTAGTATTGGGAGTGTGCCAAACATTCCTGATATGCTGTTGGGAAGCCCTGAGATGGTTCTCTGGAAGTGATCTTACAGTTCCATGGAACTCTTCTTATTGAGTTTTCCTCTTGGTGTTCTCAAACCCGTGCCTACTTCTAAAAAACGTCCTTGCCAGGGCTGTGTCTGAGGCACAGGTGCCCCGGCAGGAATGGCCTCTCTCCTGACTGCTCGCGACTCAGCCTTCTCCCTCCCTCCACACCTCCACCGGGTTTGTTCACACAGCTTGCCGACCAGAGAATCCTAACAGGGGACTGGATCTTCCCAAAGTGGAAGGAGCAGGGGACCACCAGTGACCATCGATCTGGTGGGAAGAACACCTGATCAGACCTAGTCTGGTCTGTCCAGTGAGGCTGATCGTTGGTGCAACACTGAAATTGCTTGCTTCACTTTATGCTGACGTTTGTGATGACAGTTAGGCCTGTGACAGTGGGAATTTGGTAGGCTTGAAACCTTAGTTCTTGAAGGCACTTAGGCCATTCAAGAATGCAGCAAACACCGAAGTCAGGTAGGTCCTGGGCAGCCCAGAGGCACCTCCGAGGCCAGCTCTTCTAGGGGCCAGGCCTGCACAGCTGCAGTCCTCTGCCTGTGTCAGGAGAGGGTGGGGAGCCAGCTCAGCAAATCCGCGCACAGGCCAAATCCAGCCCAGCCCCTGCTCCTGTATAGCCTGGGACCAAGATCAGGGTTTTACATTTTTAAATAGCTACCAGAAATATCTTTGAGATTTTGCCTCTTGGCCTGAGAGCCTGGGCATGCTTCCTCCAGCCTACATGCCAGCTTCTCTCCTCTGTCTCATGTGGAGCTCAAGCAGGGAGAAACAAGTACTGGGGATGTTTGGGGGTGAGCCAGTGGGCACTGGCCTCATCTGATGTGGGGGGCTGCCGCCGGGATGGCCTGTGTGATGTGTCACCTGCCGCTGGAGCCGGCAGAGGGTTCTCAGTGAAGTGATGAGAGCTTTTAAGTGTGGGAGGGGGTCCGTTCCTGGGGCAGCCCTAACACACCACCGCACACTGGTTGAACTGGAAAGTTATCCTCACGGCGCTGGGGGTCAGCAGCCTGAGGTCAAGGTGTGGGCAGGGCTGGGGCCTCTTGAGGACCCTGAGGGAGGTCTGTGCACGCCCCTCCTGGATTCTGGTGGTTGCCCGTAATCCTTGGTGTTCCTCAGCTTTTGGGCGCTGACCCCCAGTTGGCCTGTCTCATTTGGCAACCTCCCCGTGCATCTGTGCTAAAACAGCCTCCTCATAGGGACACCAGCGATTGCACCCGGGCCCACCCTATCCCCAAGTAAGGGTATGCTGACATGTACCAGGGTTAGGATTTCAACCTTTCTTTTGGGGACCATTCAGCCCCCAAGGACTGAGCAGTTATGGCAGCCAAGGAGAGGGAGGAACAGAGGGGCCTTCCTTCTGTCAGGGAGTCTGGAGAAGCGGCTGCTGGGAAAGGGGGTCAGGAAATGGGCACGGGCTGGTTCTGGATCGTGGATGCGGACCCCTCCCGCAGCTGCAGCAGCTGCAGACAGACCTAGGTAGGGGTCATCCACACACAAAAAGGTTCAGCCTCTGGAGTGACAGGAAAGAGGCCAGAGCATAGGGGCTATGTGACCTGTGGTGGCCGGCAGAAGTGAGAACATCCTTGTGAACCTGCCTAGAAGCCGGCTCAACTGTCTTCACCCCCCTGGGGACTGGCTCTTGTTCCAAAGGCAACTGTGTCTAAGAGGAAGGTCTTTTGGACTCTCTTGTCCAGAAGAATCTGTAAGTACGAGGAAAGAATGTGCTACTCAGCTTCCCTCCAGCAAGTATGTGACTGATCACAAAAGCATCAAACCCCAATTCTGGTTGCCACCATCAGTCACCTGAAACTCAAAGGACCCCCCCCCCATTGCTTGTCCCTGCCAGAGGTAGCCATATGGGATGATGGGACACCCCCACCCCATCTGCAGTGACCCCTTGGTTTAGCTGAGCCCCCCGGGATGGCCTCTGCCTTGTGTTCTCTCCATCTGACTCACTGTTCATTTGTCTCCTTATCGGCTCAGAAGCAGCTTGGCAGAGACCTTATACTTTTTTCATACCCATTCCTGGCATAGGGGACACTTGCATTTAATCCAATAAGCATTTTTAAGTACAAGATATAGGAAAAGTACTGAAGGGCTAGAATAAAGCAGACTCAGGTATATTTTTAGTATTTATTGTGGTAAATTTGCCCATTTAACCATTTTTAAGTGAACTCGGCAGTAGTTACATTCACAGGGTTCTGAGTCCATCACTACCCATTCCCTTCGAGTCTCCCTGGTGATGAGTCACCCGCTTGTTACGGACGTGGACATCCTGTTCAGCGTCCTCTTCACAGCCAGTGGCCTTGAGGGGCCTGAAGCGGTCACTTGAGTGCAGGGTGGATGGGCAGGACTTCATTCTGCTGCAGTCCAGCCCTTCCTCCCTGCCCAGGACCACTAGAGGGAGGCCAGGAGCTGCCGGGCCAGGGCTCCCGAGAGCCTGCTGTGGCAGGGACGGCCTTACTCACTGCTGCCCTAAGCACCATCAGCAGGGCGCCTTAACGAACTGGCCTCACCAAGGGGTCGTGAAGGCTGCCCTTCCTCGCCTCTTCAGCTGCTGTGGTTTGCCAGCTGGCCCTGGTGTTCACTGCAGCTGGTGGCACCGGACAGCCTTCCCTGGGTGTCTCCTCACCTCTAAGGACAGGGGTCAGAGTGGTTTAGGGCCCAACCTTCTCCAGCCTGAGCTCTTCAATTGTATCGGCTATGACCTTATTGCCAACTGCGGTCACAGTCTGTGGTGCTGGGGGCTAAGATTTAACATATCGGGGGGACACAGTTGAGGCCATTTTTTAAAGTCGGTTGCAAGAAGCCTGTCCCTTACACAGCCCTGTGGGCCCAGGCTACACCCCACCACGGGGGGTGAGGGGGTGCCGCCCCATTGGCACTCTTTACAGGCCTACCTGTCTTTCAGAATCAGTTGTCTGGGAACCTACTGAGGAAATTCAAAAACAGCAATGGGTGGCAGAAGTTGTGGGTGGTGTTCACGAACTTCTGCCTGTTCTTCTACAAGTCACACCAGGTAAGTGCCTTGCATGGGGCTGGGTTCCCCCTTCTTGTGGAGCAGGCGGCCTGCCACCTGCCCAGCCAGGCATGGAGAGGAAACGGGTCCCACCATAGGCCTGCTGTAGACCCTCAACACTAAGTGAAGGCTGACATTATCCATTTGCTGAAGGACCATTTCAGCCTGGAAAACGGCTACTGGTTGGACAAATGAGGGGATTACTTGAGGATCAGGGTCCGAGGTGCCACCGGGTGGGTGGCTGTAGCCAGGCTCACCACCTGCCTCTCCAGAGCCACCTTCTGTTGACCGTTTTCCAGGACAATCATCCCCTGGCCAGCCTGCCTCTGCTTGGATACTCCCTTACCATTCCCTCAGAGTCTGAGGACATCCACAAAGACTATGTGTTCAAGCTGCATTTCAAGTCCCATGTGTACTACTTCAGGGCTGAAAGCGAGTACACTTTCGAAAGGTAGGTGTTCCCCTCTGCTCTTCTGAACAGATTTCTTCTCAAGGACCAGGCATGTAGTCTTCCTGTCGGTGGCTACCCACTGTGGGCCTGGGCATTCACTCCCTTCCAAACTGCACTTGTCCTCCTAGCCTGGCCAAATGCTTAGAATGAAAGTATTTCACAGGATCTGGGGGTCTCTGCCTGATGGCAGTGGCCACCTCTGTTCCCACAGAATCCAGTGGCACCATGGTTTCCGAGGGGTGATGATGATGTCCATGTTGGTTAATGGCACACATCACTTTTAAATGTGACGTGTTTCTCGGGCTTAGCTGTCATGTGCCTGATGGGGCTATGGCCTGAAGGGCACACAAGGGGACAAAATCCTAGTGCTCTGGAGGATACCTCAGTGAGACTGCCTGTGTGAGATATGAGACCCCAGGGCCACAGTCTTCATTTCCCCAAGAAATTAAAGTAAAATGGAAAGAGCCAGGCCTTCATGTTTGATGGAATTGAAGTAAAACATCTGGGCCTCTGGGCACTGTATCTTACCAGATGCTCCAAAAGCAGGCATCACTGTGGGACCACCAGCTTTGGGGACAGAGGTCATGATCCTCACTAAGGAAGAAATTTCTTTCCTGCCCCTTTTGACAGGCCAAGTTCCCTGGCTCCCCACCAGCACTGTGAACCCATAAGGGTTTCTAGTGGATGGGCCAATTATGAACTGTACACATTTCCAAGTTAGTTCAGGTGAAACAGTACAGTGGTTTAAAACAGGAGCGAAGCCTCCCAGAACTTCCCCAAACCTAAGCTCCTCAACTATATTGCTTGAAATGTGAGCCCAGGGCTTAGCGGTTTCCACATTCAGTCCTGGGCTGGACGGACAGTGTAGACTGAGCTCGAAGGCTAGGCTGATCCATCCATGGTGGGGTCTTGTCACTGTTGCACAAGGATAATTTAGCCTTGCAAGGTGGTAAGATCCGAAGAGGACCTGTGATTAGGGAATTTCTAAAACTATGTTAGAAGCTTGGTTTTCTAACCCTCAGCACTACTGACATTTTAAACTGGTTAATTCTGGGGTGTTTTTTTTTTGGTGGGGTGGGAGGCCCGAGGGGGTCCTGTCCATTGTAGGGTCTTTAGCAGCACCTCTGGTCTCTACCCACCGGATGCCAGTTGTGTCCACCTATGACAACCAGCACTGCCATCTCCCTGATATACTGCAAATACTTGAATGTGGCACACCATTGTCCATGAGTAAAAGAGTAGGGAGGTAGAGCAAGAAGCCACTTTACCTCTAACTGCTTTACATGTAGTGTGCACCCCCTGGGCCAGATATATCTGTCTAGGGCACGTTGGGTCAGTGGTTCTCAAACTGTGTTCATGAGGAACACCTGGAGGAACCCTTAGCCCTGTTCTCATTAAACTGGGTACTTAACAGTCCATTTAAGAACTCTTCTGCTAAAATGGTGTTTACAAACAAGAAAAATTCGGACACAGGTTTATAAAAAGTGACCCTTGACAGTCAACTTTGCTTTCTTAGGTGGATGGAGGTGATTCGAAGTGCTACCAGCTCGGCCTCACGTGCTCACGTTCTGAGTCACAAAGAATCTCATGTATACTGATGTCATGACCCGTTTGATTGGTTCAGCAGCGGCTGCTTTCCTGGAAGACATTTACTTTCTTCTGTATTAATGAAGCCCTAGTAAAATTAACACCCGTCTGGAAAACAAAAACATGGTTTCACAACAACTCATCTGTCTGCACAAAACTGTTTTTACCCTTGTCTTTTCAAGTGGTTAATTTCTCCTCTGAACGGAACTGTGCTCCCACCGCTGATGCCAGTGGCATTTCATCTATCATTCGGTGGGGCTGTTTTTAGCTTGTGCCAGTATTAAACAGCGTCATTAACATAGTGCCAAATGACATTTTTCCTCCACAACTGCACCTTAAAAGCAGTACAAACACATCCGTTCAACCAAAAGACAGGGCAAGAGCTCTTCTTTTTCTTAAACTTTTTGATTTATAGGCTGCTGCATTTTAAAATACAGATTTTCCAGTGTTTGTGATACACATGGCACAGTCTTAAGCAAATGAGATCATTTTCAGATTTTTTTTCAATCTTTCTACTTTTATAATAATAGGAAGTTAGTAGGATTTACTTTGATTAATAAGCAATTTGCAGCACACTATTCCACTTTGGGGTTTCATGCTCCAGTGAAGCATGAAACTGGTCATCAGACCTATTTCTGGGTGCAAGTTGACCAAATTGTTTGTGATTACTATTTGCAAAGTGTGGCGGGTTGTTTGTTAAGCCGAAATCCAGTGTGATATCTGGACCTTATCACTGTACTGTGAGTGGTGTACACAATGGGAGGATATTAAGCTGTGGTGTTTTGCTGTCTGTTTCACAAGCATGAAAACCTGTACGTCAGTAACCGGGCCATTTGTGGTATGTTACGTCATGGAGATTTGTACGCTTCAGCGGATGCAGAAGCGCTATGAAGTAGCCATGCGCAGGCCCTGTTATCATCCCCATATCCTACTGCAACTGGGGTTTGGAACTGCGCATTCAGTAGTTATATATATTGTGCCTGTCTTCAAGAATCATTCTTTTCTCCTCATACTCATTTCCCCACGCATGGGGTATCAACAGTGTGACACTGTACATCCTCGACAGTCGGACTACACAGGGAACATGGTTCCGGTCACTGCTGGCGCCGGGAGTCAGAGCCCGTTTGCCTGTTGTCTGTGGAGACCAGGTGGCTGCTAGTCCCAAGCCCTTTCTGACGCAGTCTGGGGGGAGCGACCGGCCCAGCAGCTCTCTCCCAGTGCTCTGTGCCACAGCTGGGAAAGCCCCTCACCCAGAAACACAGGACGACCCCAACTTTGTGGAGCTGTGACTGGTGAACGGCAATGTACAAGTGGACGAGTAGCTTGAGATGTGTTAATCGTTTGCCTTACAACATGTACCAGATGGTTTTAAGTACTAACAAAAGGGAATAAAAATACCTCACGCCACAATCCAGCATATTGAAGTTTTAAGGCAAAACTTAACCAACCTGGTGTCATCTTTATTTGCATCCAGTGCAGGTGGGCAGGGGGAGCAGGAACCAGCAGGCACTGCCTCCAGGGCGAGGGATGGCACTGGCTGGGCACTGTGGGGCAGAGGGACAGAACGGACACACCCTCATTAGGACAAACAATGGATTCCAGAGAACTTGGTGGTTTACAGTCTATCTGCTTCTTCTAACTTGGTACTGGGAAAGCAGAGCTTCCTAGGAGACTGGTCATCAGTGGCAATAAAAGGACTAAAACCCAATGAATGAGAGCAAAGCAGACAGAAGGGCCTACCTTCCTCTGCCTTTGCAAAGGGGCCCCAGAACAAGCTAGCTGGGATACATGGCCCCAGTTGCTGAGATAGCAGAGGCTGTGTCAGGAAAACTGTCCCTCCAGAAGTCACATGCCTGTGAAGCTTGGGGACAAGGTGGTCTCCCACTCCAGTAGTTGTGATTCTAAATCATGGACACTACAGTTCTGCTCTGTGACTAGCACCTCTCTGATCCTTCTGATTTCAAAGAAAACAGAAGTCCCAATCAGGTGGGCAATTTAGACCACTCCAAAACTTGCAGGCATCTCGGAGACAGTCCATCAGGACTGCTGTCACAAAATACCGCAGACGGGGCAGCTTATCAACACATGCTTACCTCGGTTCTGGAGGCTGGGAAGTCTGTGACCAAGGTGCCAGCAGCCTCAGCCTCTGGCGAGAGCCTTCTTCCTAGTCGGAGGCAGCGGCTTCTGGCTGTGTCCTCACGTGGCAGAAGGGGTGAAGGACGCTCTGTGGAGTCTGAGGGCACTAATCCCATCCACGAGGGCTCCACCCTCATCAAAGCACCTCCCAAAGGCCCCACCTCCAGATACCATCACGGTTGGGGGTTAGGATTTCAACATATGAACTTGGGGTGGGATGTCAAGGAGGGTGGGATACAACATTCATCTACTCTCTCTACACACAAAACACAAAATTACAAAACAATTGGTTTTGTGAACTTTACTGACCCTTGCAAGATACAGTAACCTGTCCTTAAGAACACACCCTGCCACTCTCCCCAATGATTGCCACATTTTATAGCAGAAATACAGAAAGTGTATTTTTTAAAGAAGGAAATATAAAAATGTTTATAATGGACCTTATTTATGCTTTCTTTAAAGAAAGATACAAGATAATGAAGGACCAAACCAGACACTTCACAAGACCAAGTCAAGAACAAAGCTGCTGGATTGGGAAGGTGTGTAGCACTGGTTACAAGACAGGTGCAAGACCAACTCTTCTCTGTAGAAGAGTTGCCCGGCTCCCAAAAGGCAGCAGCCGGGCTTCCCTGTGCACATCAGCTGTTAGCTGCTGGGGCTTGGCATCTCAAGGCTTCCAAGCATTAGTGAACCCATCTGCCGATCTCTGTGGTCTGGTTGGTTGGACACCGACAGTAGAGTATGTTGTCTGAGGCAGGTTCCACTGTAGCTGGTCTCTTAAAATGTACACCCCAACAGTAGCCTCCTTGGCTAAATAAGGTGCCCTTCAGAGGGCACACATCACATGAGCCTTTAAAAACACAGGCATCAGTTTGTGTGTCTACAGAGACAAACCAGAGGCAACCATGGGGAAAGGATCTACCTTTAAGATGCGGTCAAACCACATCTCCAGGAAGCTTAACTGACAGAAGATGCTCAAAAATACTCTAAAGAAATAACTGGCTGCTTTATGTAGAAGGTGGTGGTGTGTACGACAGTCTAGTGATTGCTGAGTATTTGCCAACTATTCACATCAATATGCCTGACTAGAACCCAGTCTACCTATCAGCAAACCCATTACTCATTTAGGGATTTTCTTCAGCATCTCTCTTGACCTCACTGCCCACTGGCTAATTAGGAGACATCTACATTAGAAAGCTGCTGCCAGCACTGGCTCCCTCAGAGTCGGACGAGCAGACCTGGGACCTGTTTCATTTCCTGAGCGATCTTCCCCTGCAATGGCAAAATGGATCTTTGGCTTACGCCCCATAGGGAGACAAATAGTTTCCTCACCCAGAATACTTTCTGGAAACAAAATGGAATATGCTCAAGTTTCAAATATGTTCAAGTTAATATTCTTACTGGAGAATACCATGCACAGTAAGAATGAGCAATTCAGTTCCACTTCCCCCTAGCCAAAATGCATCCCTTACATAAATATTCAACCTTAAACTACTTCTAATTTTAAAAAATCATAATTGATTTCAGAGCTTAAAAACTAAACTCCACTTTACAAACCTAAGTAATACCCCCTCTCAAACCTCTGTGGCTCAGGCTTCTGTCCTCTCCCTGTCCAGGCCAGTGGCTGGCAGGTACCTGACCTTCCATCCCAAAGTCTACCCAGTAACTTCCTGGCTTGCAAAAACCCTTTGTCCTCCCCCTCAAGAACTGCTACTCCAAAAGGATATGACAGTGTTTCATCATCAACTAATAGAAAAGAAGGCCCCATGTACTGAAATCAAAAAATGGCTGCAAGAACCATTTCCCATCCTGAAGACCCCGAGATTAGTCACCCCACTGGTAAGCAAGGCCTTGCCACAGCCAAGAAAAATACAGACACCTGGGTGACAAGTAGCAGACATGAGCTCCTTTAAGGAAACAAAACCACCCTGGGAAGACAGCAATTTCACAAATCAGCAATACTCAGCTGTGTGCTCTCAATGACCAATTTTTTTTTAAGGCTGGCATAGGGAACCAACCTGGACATACACCATTTGAATGTGGGCACTTCTTACTGGAGCTAGTGAATGTCTCATCACACAACCGCACACACAACAGGTACACTGTCTCTTGGGAGTCACACATCAAGGAGAGTATACAAAGTGTGTGTGTGTTATAAAATTTATTCGTGTAAGCATTCAGACATTTGGAGGTGGGCAAGATGATACGCAGATTTCACTACAAGGTGCGACAGAAAATCATACTAGAAAGGACGGTACAGCTGGCGCAGGATTGGCAGTGGCACGATTCCAAACAAATGACAGACGAGAGCACTCCATTGGGGAGAAACTTGAAATAATAATTTAAAGCTCCATGAGGCAAGATATGTTCCAATTTAAAACACTAAGAAATAGTACCATCGATGAGAAGGGAAATCAACTTCTAAGTGTACCAAAGGGTTACAGGGCCAACAAGAGGAAAATCTGCATGTGTTGAGGTACAAACAGGAGTGTTCCATAAGAGGGGCATTAATTATTATTAATGGCAAACCCTGCAAATACAAAATAAAACCCAAATCACTGGTCACATAATTCAAAATTTACATGTAATAAAGGCAAGGCAATAGACTCAAGTTATGGCCTGTCAAATATTTACTCCACTGACATTATCTACAGAAGCACTTGGCCAATTTGTACACAGTGATTCCTTATGCACGCCAAAAGGGTTTCCGTAAAAATGACACTATATACACGTCTGTACACTGATCCACCAGAGCGATTCTCCGTCTCCCAGGGAGTGGGAGTCACCAACTTAAAGCAGGATACCTGAGGTTTCGTTTCTTCAGTTGCCTTAGCGTGATCCCAAATATACATTTCAGGGTTTGTTTCTGTTTTTAAAGACACTTTCTTTGATATGTGCACTATGGTTAAAATTAAAAACAAGAATAATAAAATGATCGCTTTAAGGAGCTGACCCCCACCCCCACCCCACCTTGAGACTTCACCTGGCCGAGGCCAGTGAGGAAGGACCGTGCGTGCTCTGGGACAGGTGCCTGGGGCGGGGAGGGCCGGGCGGGGCGGGGGACAACCCCTCGATGGCGCACCGCTTCAGCAGAGTCAGCAAAGGCCTCGACGTTTAAAAAGGAGGATGAAGAAGAAAAAAGGAAAAACAAAACCCAAAATGCCAAAGGAATTTCAGTGGGATGAAGTTCCTCCACCACTTAGAGAATATCTAGGAAAAAGAAAACAAAGATATAAAAGTAAATAAACGTCATTACTCTAGCCCATACAAAAATTCAAATAACCAAAATTCAAGTTTTTATAGAGTCCCAAGTCATAAAAATATCAAGCAGAGCAGATATCAGTGGCTTAATTATTAAACTTATAAAAATTAAGAAAATCATAATTCCAACACAACTTTTCATAGGCTGTTTAGTCATTAAAAAAAAAGAATATTTCAGACTGAGAGAAAAGAGATGTGAATAAAACAGTAAGTGATACAATTTTTTAAATTAAGGAATCAGTATTACCCAATGACATAGTAAGATTCCAGAGATGCATATTTGACTGATTTGAGTATCAGAGCAGGAAGCCCTTTGTGCCCCCAAAATATCGATACTTATTCAAGCAATTCAGTTCCTAGAAGTGTCTCAGAAATGTGGTCCAAAGGAGGAACAACATATTTGCACAAAGGTCCCTTGGGTTTTTTGTAATTAAAAAAATTAGAGAACTCTGATGTCCAACAATAGAGAAATGGTTAACTTAGGCAAACTGAATGACATAATCTAGATTAAAAATTTTAACTGTATTTAAGCAACACGAGAAATATACACAAAATCATACATGCCCTACACATGTATAGTTAGTTCCACAGGCTCATTTTCTTACCCTAAAAACCATAGAATGTCAAAAAATGATATGTGTACTATATTTTGCAGAAACATAAAAACAGGATCAGTTTAGGATTTGTACACAACAATGGAAGGCAGTGGCACTGAAATGATGTTGAGGATGACGGTACCCAGGCCACAGCAGTGCCCTCACGGGTCCTCTCTTCTGGTTTCCAGTAATCCTACAGCACAATCTGCTTTGGAATTCAGAAACAGGTGGGCGTGGGCATGGGCGTGGGGGAGCCCTCAGGGCCAAGATTCCCTCAGCACCTCAAACCTGACCCAGAGTCACAGGGGGTGGCTGAGAATGTGATGAGTGGGCTGATCTCCAACACTCCGGCCCAGAGCTCCCCTCAAGCATTCACAGCACTTGGCACTCACTCTCTCGGAGAACAAATCAGGGAGGATCCTCTGGAAGAGCGCGCTTTACCCACAGAGTCTGAGATTCACTCATCAAGAAATGTAAACGCCTAAGTCATGGGGGGAGCTGATGCCACACAAACACACCTACACATTAATTCAAATCAAGATACGCAGAAGCCTCTACAGTGCTTTAGACAGAAGTCGGTTCTCACTGTTTCTGAGGTGATCCACTGAAGTAAAGCATTTGGGCCACAAAACGAGTACAAAGCACTGGCAATGGCCACTGTGGTTTGGTGGTGTTGGTGTAGCGAACACAGAGGAGGAGCTGGGGGTGCCTCACAGAACCAAGGCCTATGGGGACCAGATAAGGATCCCCAGGAGCTGAGCTGCTGCTGGCTGAAGAGGGGACAGCATCCATACATCCCCAAGGGAAGAAGGACAAGGGAGAATGCTCTAGAGACGAGCAGGACGAATGCTGACTCAGTATCTCTAACACATCACTGCGTCACTGCAAAGTAACTGTTAAACACACTGCAGATAGATAGCTATATGTGCATTATACGTGTTAAAACGTTTGCCACCAGTGGCTTCCGAGCACCCAAAATGTGGTGAGTTCACACTGGGATATACTGTTAAGTGTAAAACACACACTGGATTGTAAAGACTTGGTACAAAAGTCAATGTGAAATACCTTACTGCTAACTGTACATTGATTACATGCTTAGGTAAGGCTCTGGATGCAATGGGTTAACAAATGTATCAACGTTAACTTCACTTGGTTTTCTGGGGTTTTTTTTACTAAGTTAAATGTGGTTATTAGAAAATTAAAAAGTGTGTGTGGCTCCCATTCCTCCTGTTGGAAGCGCAGGTACAGAAGTGTGAGCAACGAAGGAGAGACGACAGATCAGTTAAACACACACAGGGCACACCACCCTGCAGCTACGGGGAAATTGAGTCACAACTCATGTCACTGGTAACAATTTCAGGCAACTGGGGACAATGTAGAAAATATCAGTCCTAAAAGTGACACCACAGAAACAGAAAACAAACCAAATATAAGATAATACCACCAGTTTCTGCTTTGGTTCTGTTTGATTTAATGGCTCTTTTTAATGAGAAACAAATACCACTAGAATGAGGTGTCAAGTGGCACCAAGTTTCTTTGAGAAATCAGAAATTGAGAAAATAATGAACCTTTATTAAGTAGCAGGGAAGCCTATGTGATGACACACAGTATCACAGGCCAAACCTGCCCATGAACATCCTGACAAAGCCACGTTAGAAAGAAACTGCAGCACATGCAGGGTGGGAACCCACAAACATGGCAGTAACAACTGTGTCTGGGTGCGCACACGGGTCATTTTATAACTCTCCTTTCTTCCTGCAGTCTGTTAGCATCGGGGGTGTCACCCCAGAGCCTGACAGCTTCCTTCAAGTGCCTCAGAATGAAAGCAGCTGTGTTAAGCAGCCTTTATTCTGAAGCCTCAACTGGAGAGCAAGTTACAAGGCTGAGCTGTCTCTCCCGAAGGAGCCCGAGCTCAGAACAAGCTGCAGTGTGGTCCGCACCTCGGAGGGACTCCCTCTGGGACAGCAGGCCGCCCTTCGTTTACCATGTCTTGGGGCCAGGCGACCCCGCGCGCCTGGGTCTTCCCTACGGCCCGTCGGGTGGGTGTCTCAGGAAGACCTGGGACACTCCCCAGTCTCCCCAGAGCTCAGCTGTTCTCCAGAAGGGGCCAGGGGCTGGGGACACTTCTCCTAGGAAGGTGCCTGTCGGAGCAGTGACGTACCTGCCTGGCTTCTCAGGGAGCCAGGAGGGCCGGGGTGTGGAGCACAGCGTGGTCTCAGAGCCGCTGGCACTCTCTCCAGACACCAAGTGGCGGGCTTGACACTGGGCTTTAAAGCCTTAAGCCCAAGGGGCAGTTACAGACACTCAGCTAAGAGCTGTATTTCTCCAGCTGATGATCAGGCTCCAGGATTAAGAGCAGACAGGTGAGAATCCCTCAGCATTTATGTGGCGAGAGCCACAACCGCACACAGTTCTGAGGCCCTTCCCAGGAATTTTCAGATCCACATTACTCGTTCATATGGCTCTCTAGAACTTGGAACACAGGTCTAACTTGATTCTGCTTCGCCTGGGGGCCTGGAGGGCAGCAGTGAGAGACCAGGAGCATACGCCAAGCTGACAGACGGGGGTGGCAAACGGCCCCTCTGAAGGGGTTCCCACCCCCAGCCTGGAAAGCCGCGGGGCAAACCCAGCAGAGCCCCACATCCACGGGGCTCTCCTCCCCGGAGGCAGCACAGGTGGGGCCCTGGCGAAGTTACCTCTGGAGCCGCTGCACGAGCCGGGCCACCATGGTGTCCGAGATCCCAGGGCACGCCTCCTCCGCCAGGTAGATGGCCCCCCGCAGTTCTTCAATGGACCCCATGTTACCGCCACAGGCCTGGCTCTTCTCCTTCAACTTGAAACACACGAATGAGAAGCAAGCATGACACACAAGCACGGGACCCAGCGCGCATCTACTTTAAAGAGTAACATGACGAGTGACCATAACTACTGCGGCCACATTTAGATTTTGCTTTTCAAGCTGGTCCTGTCCAGCATCAACCTCGTTCTAAAAACAACAGCTTCTCTTCTCTCTACCAAAGGGACACAAGGAACTGGAAAGGCCTGGCATGGGAGGGGCTCTGCTCCCTGTTCCGAGAGCGTCTGCTTCCTGTTCCCTCCTGTCACGGACGGCTACGCAGCCGACCTGGAGACGCGGCCTGTGTCTGTCTTGGACTCCCCTCCCGGAAGGACTGAACACGACCCACCTGCAAGTCCTGAGTGAGTCACCTGCAGGCCGCCGCTCTGCCACGCCCACTTCCTACAAGGGCCTCCCCACATGCCCGCCCACCCTGTGGCCCCAGGGGGGCAGTTCGTCACCCTGCGGCTGCTGGATGGGCTCCACCAACCCCAGCTACAGCGAACCACCCGGGCACACCCAGGGAAGCTAGGGAATGCCCGCATTTGCAGAGGCAGGGATATGATACTTAATGGTCTTTATTCATTGAGTTGGATGAGTATTATGTAAAATGACATACACTGAGCACTTTGCGAGGTTATCAAGTATTAATGATGAAAACAGGAAAAGATGCCTGTGAGTTTGCCACTTTTAGGTAAGCCAATCAAAACATTATTATTACATCTAGGATTCATTAATTCTGAATGATTTCAGAATAATTTTATCATGTGCCCAAAAGAAACAGCCCCAGGCAATGAGAAAATCTCTGTGTTTCCCTAAGTACCTGAGTGACCCTGACGGAGTGGCAATGGAGGGCCACCAGAAAGCAAGAAGCACCCCGAAAACCTGAAGGGCCAGCCTCCCAAATGACACAACACGGAGCCAAGTGGTGCCTTACGGACACCCAGGAAGGGCAGAGGCACTCAGAACGATCGGCTGGGGCCAGCACCCGAAGGTGACAGAGAGGGGCCCCCACCTGTCCTGTGCCACTGAGTCTCCCACCTGAAGCCAGCAGGTTCAGTGGTTTCGGCTCCATGCTCCAGGCTCCTGCTCATGAGGGCAGACGCTGGCCGGGGAAGGGCTGGAGCAGGACTGAAGCTGCCCCCTGAACAGGGGGCCCTGCTGAGGGGAAGGCCTGTGTGCCCGAGGCTCGTGCCCAGTGGAGTTGGGGAGGAGCCTGCATGGGTGGCACTTCCACCACAGACCACCGACCTCAAGGACCCGGACCCTTGACACAGCCTCCCTGGAGAGCTCTGAACTGCCACACAGGCTCAAGGTACTAGTGGGAGACTCATTCTGAATTACCTGAAAGGTGGCCTGAGCCAGAAACGGGGCACAAAAAATGAGAGAGAAGGGTATTTATGACGTATTTCACATCAGCTACTAAACAGATGAAGAATAATCTTTACTCTCATAAAGTTTGAAGACATCTCAAGATGCAGGACGCACAGATGTCTCTAGGAGGCAAAAGGCCCCCCGTGGAGGGAAGGAATGGCACACGGTGAACTTGGAACTGAAATGGGCCAACACCCTGGGAAATGGACAGCCCTGCCGGGAAGAAGGTCCCCCTGGGTGCTTAGGGTGTGGATTACAGTGAAATCCGGGGGCACAACAGGAAACAGGGAGACTCCAGAGAGTCCCATACCTCCTTTAAAATACAAATCTACTTTTTAGGCAACTATACATTTGTCAGAGGCAGAGATCAGGCTGCACCCAAACAGATGCTGCAGAAAGCTACACATCACCCTGTAATGCATGGACTCGGGCTGGCCACTGATGTCCTGTCTGCACACTCCAGGTGGTGACACAGTGACATTTTCTGGGAGGGTCTGGACATAAGACAGCGCTAGGAGAGGAGGTGCCTGTGGCAGGTGCTGCCCATTTCCAGGGGCCACACAGGAACTCAGTGCAGACCCCACCCACTGTGCCCGCCTTGCTCTAACCTGCCAAAGTCTGCCAGCCACAACAACACAGAAGGTGCACTGCTCCCCGGCCTTCCCTTCCCACCCCCTCCAGGTCAACTGGGTATCTTACCTCCACAAACAAAGGAGAAATAATTGTAGATAAACACTGAGAGAAAGGTCTCTTTGGGATGTCTTTCATCTTGGGGAAGAAAAAAGGTAATCAGGATTAGTTACCCTTCACATTTGCAAGAATTCAATAAACCTCAGATATGCACTGTTGAGCATAAAGTCTGAAGTGGTCTCTATTCTCTGTAATGTTGGAATAGGACCACCTTACTGTCTTTCACTAGCCATACCATCTGCAGTGACAGGCAAAACCCACACCACAGTGTCTGGATTACACGTGGACAGGCACCAGAGGGCCAGGAAGGGACTGTGTGTGGGTGCAGGCAGGGTGACATGCCATGTGCCCTCTCTGCAGGAGGACTCTATGAAGGAGACCCCAGAAATGGAAACCAGATTTAAGCTGGCTGCTACAAGCAGTGCCATAGGACAGTGGCCTATTTTTTTTGTGACCTCTCTCTGAACATGTCATGATTTCTATCAACTTAATGGAACGGGAGCTGTAGGGTCACTGGGGGGACCATCTACTGGTCCACACTGCCTGAGAGAAACTACACCACTGTGCTTTAAAGAGATCCTAAAAATAGAGCTTTTCCTAAACTTAAACAGGCATAAAACCAACTAATCAGAATAAAAGTTTTATATAAGTACCAAAAGCAAATCATTTGTTTTTAAGATCCTTAAATAATCCCCGAATTCTGGTACTTATTTAAGCAACCCCAATATGCAGAAAAGACATAGTCCCATCAAAAGAACCAGAAAACCGTTCCATACTTGAAACCTGACGTCCCCCTCCTGCCTCACATAGTATGCCCGCATGTCAGGAAATGCTGATGCCACATCAGGACAGCAGGGCTGCAGAGAGCAGAAACAGCTCTGCAGAGCAGACTGGAGTCCAGAACAGACCGGGTCTGGCTCGCTGGGTAAGCAGACAGAATAAACTTTCCTGATCTACTGAGTCACTGACAGTAAAATCATAAAACCGGCTTCCATGAGAGACTACCCAGCCCACTAAAACTGGCTTCATACAAAAGTGATTGCAAAATGCCACTGACTGGTGATAAGTGTGAGTCACTCTAACACGAGCAGACATACCTTATTTCTTTCTAAATCCGATGGCTGAAGAGCTCCGTTCTCAAGACTCTTCGGGTCCTTCTCTCTGATCGTGAAGATCCAGTCCCCAGAGTCGCTGCCCCCAGACGCCTGGCCGTCTGCATCCGTTTCCCTTAACACAGAATCCAGGAAGCTCCATGAACGAGCCTTGGGTGGGGACACGGCGGCTCTAGGGCCCTCAGTGTGCACTCCCTGCCGCGTGCCCCAAATACGCTCCCCTCTTCCCTCTTCCCACCCCCTGCCAATCACTCATCCCCCAGCCTCTCTGGGTTTCCAGAAGAGGACCCTGCCTCCTACCTGAGAAAAGGGACCACCAGCACATGGCTCTCGTAACTCCCTGCAGGGCCTCAAACACAGAGGCATCCCTTCTGAAGAGCAGTCCTCCCAGCTGCTGACCGACGGCTGCTCTCTTCTCATCACCTTAGGCTCCCTCCTACGTCAGGCACACGCTCTCTTCTCACCCGATGCAACCCCCCTTCCAGCTACAGAAATCTCTCAGCCACATTTCTTGGATGCATTACCTCTGCTCACTGCCTCCACTTACCTTCCACTCACTCTGAAACTCACCCCTGCCCCTGCAACTGCAATGACCAAGGCCACCAGTTCTCTGTGCGCTGTGACAAAGGGGTTCCTGCTCCGGTCTTACCTGCTTGAACCCTCAGCAGCAAAAGACCCCCGACTGCCCCTCCCCTCGGGAGTCCCTGGGCCCCTGGGGTCACACTGCACCCAGTGCCCTCTGACCCCCTTTCACAGGCTCATCCCTCATGATGGCAGTGCCCAGCGTTCCGCCCCAGGCCCTTCTCTGAGGACGGCCTCTGGGCAACACCGTTCGTCCTCACGGCTCCAGTGGCCACTGACAGAGTGATGGCTCTAAACTCGTGTCACCTGCCTAGATATCTCACCTCAACTCCAAACCTCCAGGCCACTCTGAACTGGACACATCTTCCCGCACATTCTGTCGGCCACTCAGACACGTCCCACACCACACTCCACTTCCTGTACCCTGGCCTCACCCCTTGGACTGTCTACCTCCTTTACTCAAACCTGTGGTGTGGCCAGCCACCCTGTTCCTCTTTCCATCCCCATCGCCACCACCCTAACCTCTCAGTGTCATGACCTCAGCCCCACCCTAGTCAGTGGTTCTCACTTTCAACTTTACAATGGAACCACTCTGGGACCTTAAAAAAACACCTGGGCCTCCATCCCCAGAAATTCTGGGTCAACTGGCCTGGAGGTCAACCTGAACTCCTGGCCGAGGCGTGGTGGAGAACAGAAGAGGCACTACAGACGTGGAACAGCTCTGTTCCTGACGCTCTGCGAACAACTTCGTTCTTGGTGTCACAGACACTGACGAACTCCCCCAACCCTGACGCAGAGAGAGGCGGCCAGGCCGAACTCATCTCTTTAGCTAGTGGAATTTCTAGATGCTTAACTGGACAACAGCTATTAGGAAGTGGCTTCTGGTACAGAGCTTTTGCAACCCAAGCATATACCAGAACACATCACAGAATCACAAAAACATATTTTTTAAAAAACAGATTTAGAGCAGTTCTTCCTGATCAGTATTTGAAGAGCAGAAGTACAATGAGGGGGAAAAAAGCCAGGTCGGGTTCTTTATGCACAGTTCTCTCGCCCAGAGTTTTCTCAGAGCAACTCCATTAACAATAAAATGAGGCTGAAAGGCTCCCAAACTGTCCTCTACTAACACAAGAGTCACCGTCAACCCGAATCATCCAGAACAAAACAAACAAAATAGCCACCCAGGCAAGAGACCTCGGGCGGCCGACTTACGTGTCTGAGTCCTCAGAGCTGGAGTCGTCGTGGCTCTGCTCGGCCTTCCATCTCTTATACCTGTCAATGAGCTCCGTCAAGTAGGATGTTTTCTTTGCATTGCGTATTATAAACTTGTGCTTCAGTAACTCTTTAGCACTGGGTCTCTAGAAAAATAACCACCAAACCAGGAAGGCATGAGATAAAATTCCCTTCACTCTGCTTGACTCTACCCCAAAGGACAAACTTCTGCCTCAAAATGTCACACCACCACATTCAAATGTAAAGACCGAGCTCTGTTTCAGTTTTTTCCCTATGACTTATTCAAAGAATAATCAGCCAGCACCCAAAGGTGGGACTCTGCGTACTGAGTGCCACTTAGTATCTAACAGTGTCCTTAAATCTGCAGGTAAGCAATGAATGCAAGAGAATTTCTCCCCAGAAATGCTTTTACATAGAAATTGCTATAGCACATTTCACAGAAATCATTCAAGAGAGCTAGAACATACTTCCTAGTTTTTATAAAACATTTTATTACAAATGCTGGCAAGAGAAAACATGTTCTGTGTTAACTTTCTATAATATTTGGCTCCATTCTCCAAAAATAGTAAGATAAATGTTCATTCGGATTCCTCTAGAAGAGACTAGAAGGGAGCTGGGACATACCCTTTCCTTGGATGCAGACAGAGCACCCACGTTCTCTCTCAGACACTGGTTTCCCCAATCCAGAAATGCTTTCCCAAGTCTGCCTCATCTCTTGTGATTACGGGAGGGCTTCATCCAGGCCCTGGACTCAGCAGGGCCATATCCAGAGAGACACCCTGAACCTGGCCAGCTGCCTTTCCCTTGAAGATGGCAAACCTCATCGCAGGGGCAGACTACCCCGGGAAACCGAGAGTAGCCCAAACTGAAGCAGATGGCACGAACACACAAACACCGCAAGTCAGACTAGGTTCCCACTTGCTCCAAATTACTAAAGCTTTATTAACAAAGGCTGGGCATGTTCCCCAAATTCAGGCTTGTGAAAACCTAGGTTGCCTTAGGTATGTCTCCTCCCTGCCCACCTGACTGTAAAACTTCAAGTATCTCAGATGTGCTCATATTCTCAGCTTCTCCTCAGGTCATCTGGGATCAAGGTAGGGGTGAAGATGTGTGCACGGGCAAGCCAAAACTAGAAATATATTTTTAATGTAAGCCGTACATGCACGTGGGTGTATGTTCTCAGGTGCTGGTGCACTGCTGCTAGCACTTACACTGAGCACAGCAGACAAGTACACCAGCCCCACCCTGCCCCAGTGCCTGATACATTACAAAAGTGCTGACATGGTGATCTCAGGCTACATTCGTACAGGTTCTTAGAAAAGGACGCATTCCCCATTTAATTCCCTTTATCAAAACTGGCATATCGGAAAACCATGTGCTCCCATAAAACTAATCACTCACTTTTAGACCAGAGTTCACAAAAAAGGGGTTCAGCTTGGTCTTCAGTTAACCCTGTGGGAAAAGCAAGAAACCAAGCAAGGACACCGGGTGCTCTGAGCACCATGAAAATATACCGGCAGCTTTCACAGGAAAACCTCACTTCAGAGGAAAACGGGGCCAAAGCTAGGCAGTGGCTGCTGCTACACGGCTCTGCCACAGTCAGTTACACATAAAGGGAGACAAAAGATGGGGGAAGAAGCAAGGTGGGTGATTCATTTATATTTTCTATTTGCCTTTCTTCCCTAACACATGCCAAGAAGACACTGAAAACATTTACTCTAAAGACACATTTAGCCATTATTTTTCAGGCCAGACTTCACAGTTACTAAAAATAGCCTGACCTTCCACTATACATACTAACAATTTATGATTCTACATATAATATTAAGAATAGTCTTCCAGCTCAATGAGGTATGAGATGCTAGAACATCTGAGAGAAAATAAGTTGATTTTTACTCTCTAAAAGATGAAGTAACAATAAAAACATATGTACAATCCCAAGAAGTCAATCATACCCATTTAGAAAAAGAAAGATATATGAGGCCATGAAGACAGCTGACAGCAGCAATTAAAGAGATCGTAGTAACGTGTATCTAGACAAAGTCAGGCCACACATGAAGAGATGCCTGTTCTAATCTCGTGAAACTCACAAAGCTGGGCTCCTTATTCAAACAGGCCTCAACGAACTCCTTCAGGGGTTTGCTGTAGTTTCCTTCCAGCGTTGGGGGGTTGTTCTTTGGGATGAGGAATAAAACTTTCATGGGATGCAGCTCGGAATGAGGTGGCTCCCCTTTCGCAAGCTCGATAGCTGTTATGCCCAGGGACCAGATGTCTGCCTGCAACAAGAAAGCCTCTTTAGAGATCCAAACAGGAGGAGATTCAAATACATATACTTCTTAGAAAAAGAATACATATCATGGTACTTCTATGGTTTTGAAAAAGATAATTATTTTTAACTGAAAACAAAAAAGATAAACCTTTAGCCTAATTTCAAAATAGGTAACACACAGGAGAAAATTTTATATGTAAAACATCTTCTACCTCTATACTGAAGACGGCTTTTACGACTATTCCTCTCCTATCTACTGCTGGAGATGGAAGGTGTTCCGTTTGAGCCCTGCAGGTAATGAAGGGAGAGCAGAGAAGTGTACCTGGGGAGTGGAGGCGTGTTTGCAACTCACCCCTCGAGCAATGCTCAGAGCTAAGCCCAGCTTTCCGGTGGAGAGCAGGCACCCTGGTCCCAGGGACTGGGGTTTAAATGCCAGCTCTACAGCCACCGTCTTATGACACTATATAGAACACCCAACCCGTGAGCCTAGTTCCCTCATCTGGAAACAGGCAATAATAAGGTGGTCATGCCAGGTGCCTTACACAGTGCCCAGAACTGAAAAATACTAAAATAATGTACCCCCACATACCCATCACATGAATGTAATCATTATTAACAATCTGCATACAGGCTTTGTCTATTCTTGCCATAGTATATTTTAAGTAAATCACAGACACCATGACGTTTTCTCTGAGTACTAGGTGTGCCAATATAAGAACTTCTTACTACAAACCAACACCTGACATTGGCAATGATTTCGAAATATCATGTAATGATTAAATTTTCTCAACTCTTCACAGAAAGTCATTTCATGATTGGTTTATCTGAATTAGGATCCAAACAAAGGAACCATATATTACAGTTGCTTGTCAGGTCCCCGAGGCTCTTTTAGTCTAGAACAGTCCACTCCCTTACCTCCCCAGTGCATTGATTGACTTGAGGAAGAAGTAGGCCCCCAATTCTGGATTTGCCTGGATTCTTCTTAGAGTCAATTAATGTGCTCTTCTAGCTCCTTTACATCCTGTCCAATGATCGGTTAGATGCACTGTGGGCAGGGAAGGGGGCTCCTCGTGGGGCACCCAGTGTCCAGCTGCCCACCCGCCTCCAACCCAGGCACGCCTGTGACCCTGGGTCAGTCAGGCGGATCAACAAATTCCTGGACCTTGTAAGTGAAAAGAGCAGGTGGTCTTGCAGAACTAGAGCTGGGGGGCTTTCTCAGCAGCAGACAGCAGTCCCCAGCGGAGACGGAGGAAGCTGACAGGAGTGCGGCACCACAGAGGCCAGCAGAGAACAGGGGCAGGGGACAAGGCTCCACTGTGCTCAGGCCAGGGCAGCTTTTCTGCGTGAATGAGTGAACCCATCATGCTTCAGGCAATTAAACCAGAACCTAATCAATCTCCCACACTCACTCCACAGCACAGGAAGGGCAAGGCTGAAACCGCGCTCAGGACACTGCAGAACCCAAACGTTTTCTGACCTCCTACAACCTGGGAGCACTCACTCCCCACAACCCTACAGAGTACAAGAAATTCTCACTGCAAGCTTGCCTCACCCAGAGGCCTGTGGGGTTAATGCCTACCACATATTCTGTTTTCTTCTGTTCTTAGTGAAGATGGGAGAAACTACCAGCAAGCCTTATTCTAGTCTTTGTACTAAAGGGCTTGGTCTAGAAGAGCCAGCAGCAGGAGTGATATTCCTATTTTCCTTTCCTTCACGTTTCTACCTGACTGCACATGTGCATTACTTTATAAAAATCAGCAGACCCGTTCGCGTCCCTCCTCCAGGAGCTCCCACACCTGTGGCAGTGCAGGTAGCCGTGAGCAAGCGTGCAGGGCCCAGGAGGGAGGGCGAGGTGCAGGAGCAGAGGCGGCAGAGGGACGGGTGTGCGGCCCGGGACGGCAGCGGCTCCTTACACAGCAGGCTCCTCCCTAAGTCTGCATAGCCGTGTCTACCTGCCTGCCCCAGCCCTCCTGTGTTTCCTCACAGCTGCTGTTTGCAAACCCTACTGCTTGGCCCCAGTCTGTCCCCTGGCCATACAGACACAGGGCCTTTGTCCAGATGACCCCTGACAGACGCACCTCCAGAGCCCCAAGCACCCCATGACCACCTGAACACTCTACCTAGGGGGCCCAGGCCGATGGCGGTCCCTGCAGGTGGGCAGTCTGTCTCAGGATGTGCTTACACTCATTTCCCTCGGAGGTCTGAGGGCAGGCTGCCCAACACCAGGCTGGACAACAAGCAGACAGGCAGAAGGTGACAAGGACCTGGTGCTTGCTTCCACAAACCAGAAAGGACCAGCTGATGTCAGCCAAGCAAGCAGCCCTCCTGGCCCGCCCAGAGGGCACCTCCAAGGTCTTCAGAGTGATGAGGTATGGGCATCGCTTGCTGCTTCCCCATGAGGGTCACCAGCAGAGCCTCATCACAACAAACACATGCCACCCTGCCAGGCAGCCACACCAGGAGCCCGAGTGTCCCCCAGCTCCTAGAGCTCTTCTTTGGATCCTCCTAAATCAACCAGGTGCCAGGTGTGTGGCTCCTGACCTCTGGGCACCCTGGGTCCCCTCTATCCCTCCTGCCCGTGGCCTAGCTCAGAGCGATCCTATCTCCCTGGCACTTCCAGCGAGCTCCTGAGCACTTTCCTGCTTGCAGCCTCCCTCTCCGCACATCTACCATCCTGCTGACTAATCTGGAAGCCTTGACTGGCACTGGAGTAAATGGCAAGCAGTTTGGCATTAAATATCAAAAGCCATAAAAATATCCTGGCTTGTTAAAACCAATTAATTCTACTTCTAGGAATCTATCCTAAATAAATTTTAGATTTAGAAAAATAGCACATGCTGCCAAAAATATTTAGGAGCGGCATTACTTATGCTAAACCTTAGAAGAATGATTAAGTCACTAGGGCACATTAACTCACTTCAGTATCATGTACTCAACAACAACGGTAAGAGAATCATAAATAGAAATGGGCTTGTCTCTTAAGAAATACAACAAATTAGAGCATGTGTCTGGGTTTTAAAATAAAACATGTGAGGGAAGGGCATTTTCCAAAGCAATTAAAGTTGAGGTATGAGAGACCCATTTTACTGCCATTTAGGAAAAACATGAAATTAGGTATTAAGAGAAACAAAATGTGGTTTTCAACACAAGCCCAAGTCAAAAGTTATATGGGCAGGTGCTTTGAACTCCAGGTAATACAGCTTTTTTTCCTGTGGGCAATTCTAGTAGCACGCTCCTAATTCTATGACAACACAGAATTATTTGTTATTGATGATCGAGGACACTTCTCAAAGGGGCAGGGGAGGGCTACTAATATACAACAACATTCTAAATCCTTCCAATGCTGTGTTAATTAAGTAAAAGTAAGCTGGCTACAAATTGGCAGATACAATTTAAATGGTATCATAAATTTATGTATAGAAGATATTCTGGAAGAAGCCACAGTCAACTCCCTATAATCCAGAGGATGAAGGGGACAAAACCATGGAGAATCCCAAGTCAGTTATAACTAGTCAAAACATAGCTCAAAATGGTTTTAATGTAAACTGGTTCCTTAGTTAGATAGATACACTGCTGGGGTACACATTCATAAGCAGCATCTAGAGGTATAAAAGCCATTTCTGAGCACTAAATAGCAACACATGTTCATCCGAAAAGGCCCATTACTATGCGCTAAAATAAAGCTGTGGTCAGTCTCCTGCCCTAATTCCTGATCTGGTACAGGGACCGGGCAGGGCAGGCCCCACCCCGCTGCATGGATCTCTACAACAGATGGACTAATACTGACACACTTCTGCTTATCTGTAACAGTTTTATTTTTTCCCATCAATACATCACCTGTTTTTGCTTTTCACCACGGTTAGACTGCAAACCATTATTTCAGCGATGACTGGACACCAAAACCCTCTGTGCATAGGTGCTGGGTCTACAGAGCTTTCCTTTTTATGTTGATTTTTTTCCTCAGTTTAAACAGTATGTACTGCTTTTGAGATCAAAAAAGGGCAAGGGTATTCACATGGGAACACTGACCCTGGCCTCTTGACGTCCACAGGACATCATTTTGGTTAACTGGCAGCTCAGTTTCTCCCTCTTCTCCTACCACATTCTTCCCCACCTCCTACAGTCCAAACACAAACGCCCCTCCTTTCCCGCAGGACCTGGTCTGATCGTCCTTGGCTCACTTTGGAGGGGCTGAAAAGGCCGTGCCTGTGAAGCCTTCCCCGGCCGCACTGACCTTCCTCACTCAGCGCCCTGCCCTCCCCACTGTCCTGATGGAGCAGCTGACGGCCGCACTGAGCACGTGAATTATTCAGCACAGTCCTGGGCACAGCTACAACAACAATGGCAGGAGGGCAGAGAAACAGACATGGAGTGGGGACAACGTGTGTACCCAGGTCCAACCCATGTGCTAACCATCACAGTATCTTATAAAGAAAGAGAAAAAAGATTAAATTCTTCAGCCCAACACCCTGCTCAGTGCTGAGAGCAAAGCTTCTTTGTGGGAGAGCAGTTATCTCCCTGGGCGCCTTCTCCCAAGTGAGGACTTCACCTAAGTTCCTGATGATACGACCCCAGCTAAAGGACCAATACGACCCTAACTCACCTTAAGCAACAGTCATCACCACAATCCTAACAATTCCTAAGGCAAATGGGCAGTCATGAATTAGTAACGCTGTGCTAAGATTAAGAACTGAGGCCGACCTGAGAGGCCCTGTATGTGCAAACACATTCAGAAAACCTAAGCAGCCTGGACACACAAGAAGGGGCCCGAGATCCTGGTTCAAGAGGTCACTGTGTTAAACTACATTCTAGACAAACACGTAAAACTAAAGCTCACTTAGCTTGATGAGAGGAAGATGCTGGTGAGGTGGGTGCATCCATCCTTAGCCTCTGAAAATCAGCGCATGCACCGGAGCTGAAAGAAGCATGCGATCACAAGGGTAACAGACGCTGCTACCCCAGGGCCGAAAGCGCTTCCCCGGTAATGCAGAGACTGACGGGACCAAGTGTCTAGACGCACATGCTACGAAGAAAGAAGGGGGTACTAACTGGACAGAAGCCGGACACATTGGATTCAGGAGCCCGGAACAGCTACAGTACCTACAGTGCCTCCCAAGGAGCATCGACCCCCGCCCCCACCTCTCCTACCCAACCGTCAGGCAAGCCTCGGTGAGCGCAGGGAGGCGGTACTGGGAAGGACACCCACGCAGCAACCTCAGAACATGCCCTGTATCAGGCATTGTTCATGTCAAGAACTGCTAACCCAGAGTCACAAATAATGGGGAGGGGGGAAGGGGGAGTCCACATTAACCCCAAGGCCCCAGACTGTAGAAGCCCAGCTCTGATAAGCCTCAAGACTCAGACACAGCCATCAGTTTATCTGCACTTTCCACACCTCCTGGGTCAACAAACATGGGAAGCGAATTTCACATGAACACATTTCCACAGGTGATTTCCAGTTAAGATTTTTTGGGTATGATCCAAGCAAATGAAAGAATTAGCTTCTGACATAAGCCAGCATAAAAGGTTAAGCAAGGTTAACAGGAAATGTGATGCATTTTCTCAGGTTCACCAACCAAGTGTGTGTTCCCTGTCAGTTGGAGACAACATCTTTAAACCGACCTAAAAAGAACACTGCAACAGCTACTGATCACAGAAGAGCATTCTCATCTCAACAAGAACTCCATGAGGAAAGATAGCAAAGCTTTAAGATGCAGGAAAGTCTCTACTGCTTAGAGGCCACTTTCAGCAAATGTCCTGCACCAGGAAGAAAGATGGGGAGGGAAAGGTCTCAGGCAGACGGGGCAATTCTTGAACAAAAACTGTGAAGTGAGTAGTGACAAGTAATAATGCAAATGTAAGATCTGAATCCTGAGTCACATGTGCCATGGTTGATCAGCTAATTTACTAGAAAAGAAGAGAAAAAAACAATGAGCATGGTGTCATCAGTTAAGTTCAGGTAAGTCCTAGCCCCTACTAGTATCTAGAACCTATGAACTCTGAGAAAACCAAGAATGGACTGAACACATAAGTTCCTATCTGGTCCTAAAATGATATACCCCAGCAAAAGGGCCAGTGCAAAGGGGGCTACAGATTTTCAAAATGGCCATGGAGGTGATCCATGGCTCAGGGCAAATCCACCACGAGAGACAAACATGCCTAAGACCAGTCAGCTGTTATACAAAAGATTGCAAACCTAAGAGTCACCTATGGGCCAGTAGCTGCCAAGTTCCACTAGGATGCCTGTGGAAGTCACAGCCACCACCGCAACGCGACAGTGAGGCAGCCGAGCTGGGGCCTGCACCCCTGCAACCTCAGCACAATGTGACACTTCACAGCAGCCAACGGTCCACAGCAGCGTCCTTCTGTCTCCAGGCGAAGTTACTCTGTGCTTCGTGTGCCGTGTGAAGGAGGCGGTAAGTCTACCGTGTATTGAGGCTTCCATTCAAGAAAAGGAACCAATGTCTGGCATGCAAACACATGTGAGTTAAGCATTTGTTCGCCTAGAAATTTTTGGTTCCAGAAAAGCCAATTCCCTGTGGACTATGTGCAGGTTTTACTGTGCACAAGCTGAGAAAGAGTGGCCTGCAGGGCATGAGATTAAATCAGAGATTTAGGAGACAGGGCCACTAGGATTTTTAGTCTATCCTAAAAAGTTTAAGAAAGTTGAAGGGCAATGGGATAAAATGAACACAGGAAAAATCAGGAGAGGACAACAAATGACCGGTCAAAGAGCTGGGAAAAAAGTAACCGTGGTTTGCCCCCAAATGGTAATGAGCTTCTGAGACAGAACAAAACAATGACAGGAAGGGTCTGCGGCAGCCACTGAAAGCATTATTGCCTCCACATTCTGGTCATACATTTCTATGAACTCTCCATTTCTCTTGTGAGATCCTCTTTCTCAACGTGTCCCTTCAGTATTGTACTGCTCGGAGTTCTGTCCGGGCCCTCGTCCCTCAATCACTGCACTTGGACCCCACCTGCCAGCCAGACCCAGATGACTCGCCACCCCTCTGGGAAGCCGTCCTCTAACGTGCGCCTCTGCTGGATGCCCCTCCACAGACATCTCCATAGGACCAGGCCCACCCGTTCCCACCACACCCCCAACAGCTCCTCACCTTCCCCACCACTTCAACTGCTGAAGCTAAAAGACTCATAACTGTGGGTTAAACACAGGGCATATGAAATGCTGCTGAGACAGAGAAGAAACCTGTTTTTAACCAATGTCCAAGGACTCCTTTATGACCTACTTCAAGGTACCACTTCACTTAACTGTTGAAGCTACAAGGTGACAACAAGGTTGTAAGGGAAGCAGTCTTTAGACCCAGCAAAGTGAGGCGCCATTCCTTACCTTTGAGTCGTAGGCCGACTGTTTGATGACTTCAGGCGCCATCCAGAAAGGGGTGCCCACGAAGGTGTTTCTTTTTATCTGGGTATCTGTCAGCTGGCCTGCCACGCCAAAATCAGCCAGCTTCACCTCTCCATGTTCAGAGAGCAGAACGTTGGCAGCTGCAAAATGAAGCCAAAGACACTGTATCATTTGCTGTAGTGTTCAGTCTGCTGTCAGTTGGAGAACACGTACACTCTTCCCAGCAAGATCATGTGCCCAACAAGAACAAGCAGCAAGGGTATGCTTTCGGCGAGGCCCCTCCGAGCCAGCCCACCCCGGCACGCCGAAGGCACTCTGCACCTGCCCTGGGAAGGTTCGGACTGACTCTATGCTCCTGCCCACCTCAGGAATTTCAAAGGAGCAAAACAATATGCTTTCTTACCTTTAATATCTCTATGAATTTTCTTCTCTGAATGTAAATAATCAAGTCCTTTCAGAATTTCTCTTAATATAGTAGCAATCTGAGTTTCATCTAAAGGGCCAGGTTCTAACTAACAAGAAAAAAAATGATTAAAGTTACTTAAGTGGTATCTTAGCAGTAGTTTGAGATGATAAGTCAATATCACATTAAATGGACAAGAATAATTTTTAAAAATTTTTAAAAACTTCTTCACTCCAAACCAGATATTTTGCCCAAACAATTAAGACCTATTTAAAGGGCCCTAGGGACAAAAACCACCTCCACCAGAGAAAAATGATTCTGCTGGATGAAGCAAAGCTGCCCAAGAAGGCCTGCGGGCGGCCCCGCCCCACCCCGAGGCTGAGATACAAGGGCTCTAGCCGGGCAACTCACATTACTTGCTAGGCAGGGTCCCGAGCAGCCCAGCTCTGTCCTAACACACACTGGTTACCCAAACACAAGTGGTCAAAAGAGAAGGCTTCTGGGAGCCAACTCCTTTCTGAGGTTACCCCTGCACCAGAGCGTTTCAAATCTGAATTTTAAAACTTGGGGAAAGAGAGTTGAAAGAGCTCAAGTCCTAGTGACCTGGGAATTTTGTTACATTTACACAGAGTCTATGTTATGTAATAAAAATATCATATTATCCTAATCAAGTCGTAACTGCCTCTGGAAACGTTTATTCTGAGAAACTCAAAGGAATTGCCCATACTGATGCCCTAATATCATAATCGTACAAAGATGTAAGGAAGAAATGTCAAGTACATGTATCCCCATTTTAAAAGGAAAATTAAACACTAGTTCTGGAGCTCAGCTCAAATGGTAATAGGGCCACCATCCCTTGCAGAGCAGGAGTTCGATCACATCTCATAACTGTATAAGTTACTTCAGCAAAACAACCTAATACTCCCTGAAGAACTAGAAGTAGGACCATCAGAGAAAGGGGCATAATTCTAATAATTTGAATTAATTTCTCATCTGAATAATGATCTTCAGTATTACGTTTTCAGATTTGACAGTGACTGAGAACAGAACCCAGTCACACTTGAGTCAACAGAAGACAAACCCCATGGCATCCATGCCTCAGACTGGGGCAGCATGCTGCACACTTTGTTTCACAGAACCTAATTTTTTCCAAATTCATCTGACCAACAGTCTTACTGTCAAGAAGCACACCTTGAAACTACTGTGCCAAGAACACAATCTGGAAACCCTGCCTTGTCTGCCATCTCCACATCTATTTTAGAGTGTTCATAGAACGTAGAAATTCTAATACTCAAAAGGAGGACGACGAACTTTCTCATATCCTGGGGGAAAAGGGAAGATGCTGGGGCTTGCTCCTGTTCACACAGCAGAACACAGGAGAATCCCCCACGTGCAAAGGCATCTCACAGAGACCAGGCTCCATTTCCTCCTCCAGCAGGTTTTTTTACCCAAGCAGATAATCGGTTAACACTTGGCTAGATGTGGGCTAAACTCCCCTGCCCTTCTATTATCAAGTCTCTGCAAAGAAATAGCTAGCAGCCTGTGCCATCACCAAGGGAGATTGAAAAAAAAACAAAAACAAAACAGCTAAGGAAAACTAATTGAAAATCTTTCCCTGGATCATTAAAAGCTGACTCTGATATATGTATGGATATGCCCCTTTAAATCTGGCCTCAACACCACCCACCACTGATGTATATGCCATTAGGGATGGTGGAGGAGGGGTGAAAGAGAAAGACACTCTATTTATAGGATGGGGAGATCCTTCAGGGTGTCAAAATTCATTATAAAAGATGTCCAGTTGTCCACACCAGGGTTCCACCCTGGTGGGTAAGACCAGGTGGAGCTCAGTTCTCAGGATCATAAATTAGCATTCTCTACCATTAACATTTCTAAGCAGTATAAACATGGTGGTCTCCATCATTAAGAGGACTATGAAAGTTTCAAACAATCTACAAAATAAAGACTCCAGAAAACCAATTTAGACTGCACCTCATCTGTGGGTGATTTCTAGTTCCCTCCACCCAATCCTGAGTCTGTCTTCCCCCTTTCTCTGTGATAGAGACTATTAGCCAGGCACACAGCCCCCAACCAGAGACCACATGTGCCAGCCTCTGCAGCAGCCAGTTTGGCCATGTGACTAAGTTCTCACCAGCAAAATCTGAACAGAAGTGACACATGTCCCTTCCTGGTCTTGGCCTTGAAAACACTGGAGCCAGAGAGGACAATGACTGAAGACCACAGGAAGCCATGGGTCACAGATGTACAGCCACCCACCAGCACAGGCCCCTGACAAGCCCTTGGATTACAGGCCCGCGGCCCCATGTATGGGAGAGAAACCCCTTTCTGTGTGTGAGACATTGCCTGGGTGCTACCCCAGCAGCAGTCTGGCCTCCTGTGAATGAAGACTCCTTCTCATTTTCTTCTATCACTCTGCATGTTCATTTTTAAGTCTGTCAAACATCTGTGCCTGATTGACCACCTTAGGTGTCTTAGTTTCTTCTTAATTAGACCTCAAGTTCGTCCCTTAGATTCTCCTGCAATACTGACTGCTCTTTTCGTCAGCTACAAATCTCTCAGTCTCAGGCCTTCAGTTGCTAATCCTCACTCCGGTTCCCCCAGTTCCCCTCACCCTGCTGTATTTTCCCTGTAGTGCTCTCCGACATCCAACATACTCGACTGACTTCTCCCACTAGACTACAGCTCTGTGAGAATGAGGGTTCTCTTCTGCCTGTTTGCTGCAGTAATTTCCAATGACTAGAATAGTGCCTGATACGTAGTAGGTGCAAACTTGTGAATGCAAAATGATCACCTAAATTTTGCCACTTTTTAAGTTATAGATTCTTTAACTGTGTGATACATACATTCATAAGTCACGGCACCCTAGTAGTAGATGCAACTGGAGAAATTCTTTACACAAGTGGTCTTCAAACTATATTCCAAAGAACCCAGTGTTTCCTCAGAGTAGCCTTCAAGATCCTACATTTAATTTCAATTTATTAATTGTTTCTTTCAAATGAATAAAAATCAACAGACTGAACACACTCAAGTATGTGCACTCAAAATTTTACTCTAACATTTATGGTTCTCAACAGCTAAGCTATATTGTGTCCCCACCATTCCTCATACTCAATCCCAGACTTCACTGCTCAGATAGCAGGTAAAGGTATCAATGGCATTTTTTAAAAGTCAAGAAGGATGCATCAGCAGGAAAAGGAAGAGAGGGCTCCAGGGGACACACACTCTCCAATGCATCAGGGCATTGCCTGCCAGCTACGGAGATGCCCAGGCCCAGAGAACAGAACTGCGAAGTTCACCCATGAGCAGCATCTCAGCAATTCACAAAAAGCAGATCTCAGTTAATTCCAAACTTGAAGTCATAATGCCTCTCAAGTTGTGCCCTTCATTTTGTCTGACTCACAGGGCCCCAGATTTATTTCCACACCCCAACTGCAGTGGGAAAGAGGCTAGGACTCTCAACCTGCGGCAGCCACTTCCCCCTCTAGGGCCCGGCCCCTCTGGTCATAGAAAGGGGAAGGGAGGCCAGAGTTTCAGGTCTCGGCAGCTCAGACAGTTGGTGTTGCTGGTGCCTCATTAGGGCTCAGCTGTGTGGTCACGAGACAGGACCGTGACACCTAGGCTGTTCCCTCCTCCCTCCAAACGTCCACCACTTCCCAGGAATGAGCACCCAAGCAATTCTACCCCGTCTACACGCCAGCCTGGAGTCTGCCTCCACTTGGAACCTCAATTCCACAGTTAAACGAAAGTCAAAAAAAAAAAAGAATTATCAGACATGCTCCAAGGCAAACCTGGGTGAAGGAAGTAACCATCTTCTGCCCCAGGCAAAGACATCATGAGTTGATGGGAGGGCCAAACTAATGTCTCACAGCCAAAGTAAAAGACACGACAACCACAGTGTAGAGCAAAAGCGCAAAACAAAATAATATGTACGTTGTAATTCAAACTATATAAAACACACATACTTATTATCAGAGGGGCTACAGGGAGACAACAGCATTATTTCCAAGTGGAGTGAAACCTTAGACAGTTTTCATTACTGTTACGGACTCAATGTGTGTATCTTCTCCACCCACCCAAAATTTGTATGTTGAAATCCTAACACCCAACGTGGGGATTTTAGGAGATGGAGCCTTTTGGAGTGACATGATCATGAGACTGGAACACTCACCAACAGCATTAGTACCTTTTCAAGATGCCAGAGGGCACTTGCTCTGTTCTCGGCTCTCTTATGCAGATACCTGCCACCACCTATAGGCCAGGAAGACTGCCTCACCACACCCCAGATTTGCCAGCACCCTGACTTCAGACTTGCCAGCCTCCAGAACTATGAGAAATCCGGGGTGATTTGTTCCAGCAGCCTGGGCTGACTGAGACAGTCACGGAGCGCACAAAGAGAGAAGAGAGGCAAGCGGAGGGCTGGCTGGGGGTCCTCGTGCTCTGCAGTGGCGGGGCGCTCTCCCTGAGCAGGACGCACCTCGCCACGTTTCCCTCCACAGGCCCTCCCTCACCCATGGGGCCACTTCAGTGTCATGTATAAATATATCAGCACTACACCCCCACAGAATTTTTCAAAGAAATGCCCCAAATGCAGATTTTCAGCTATGTGGTATCATAATTTCACATGGGAAATCATGTTTTCTTAAATCTTTTATAAACATAGAGTAGACGTTCTAGAAATAATCCTAATAGTTTTCAACATTCAAAAAATAATTCTTGTATCCCAATATTAAAGTTTGTCCTCTTCTCTGAAGGCTGGGGGCAGGCCAACAGAAAAGGGTAAGAGACAGAGAAAGACACAAAGTCCACCTTCATTTTCAAGCTGGGGCACTTAACCCCTGAGTGTCTGTCTCCTTAGCTTCATCAATTAAAGGGATTACAGACATCCAAAAGCGTTGCCTGGTTCCTGTCACCAGGGCCACTGATGTGCAGGGAGGATGGCAGTTTGCTGGGAGGCCTGCCATATGGGGTTTTTTTTTTTAAGTGGAGGGGCGGGGGGTGGGGGTGGGGGTTCTATACCTCCTTCCAATTGTAATTGTCTACTCTGTCTAGAAGTCTGAAATTTCAGACTTCAGTTCAAAGCTCCAAAGAAAGTTACCCCTAAGTAAATTAAATTACTGTGACATTAAGAATGAATAAACTGAACCACTGAGACTGGAATTGCAGCTCTTAAGGACTCAGTGTCGGAGAGAGAGTCCCCACAAACAACTTTATATAGGCCACAAATGAAATTCACTTAAGATCACAGTAAATCTAATTACACAAAATGAGATAATTTTCTACATTCCTGTAGTATTTCCCAAAAGAGTAAAATAAATGAAAAGCTCTTTGTGTATATTTATGGGAATGAAGCAAGTCAAAAATTAATCCAGCTATTTTGTTGCTTTTTCCATTTTAATATAATCATATTAAGTTTTTTATTGAAATTTCCTTTTGAAGACTATTTTGACCAACTGTATGGTTTACAACATTATGTGATTTTTAAAAATTAGATATATAAGCTCTTTAAAGGTAGTTTTAGAGATTTAACCTCTACCCCCCAAAAATTACCAAATGCTACTATTACTGTGAGAAAAAAAAATCTCCTTTTAATCAAAGGGTATTTCTTTCCTTAGTGAATAAAATTTGTGTAGGCTGTAGACTATACCACGAAAAAACATGGCTTCTTTCAGTGGTCAGTGAGAGCAGTGAAAACAGCACCCCCATTATCCCGACAACGTCTATCAGGCAGGACCCGCCCTCTGAGACTAAGACTGGGCTGAAATAAGCTGGGTGGAGAAAGACTGGGCCTGTCTGGAAGGCCACCACTCGCCCAAAAGTCCAGCTTTTCCAGGACAGGTCAGAAGAGGGTGCTGATTCCACTGATTTCACAGCATAACCACAATGAAGACAAACTGTCAAGTGCTACACACAACTGTGTGGGTCTTTTAAAATCTCTTCTGCATAAGCTATGTTTCAAGTACGACTTCAGCAATGCTCAAGCTGACTCTGAGGTGATGCTATGCCCACCCCCTCCACCCTGAGGAGGCTGGCACACTCCAGTGGCACAGCAGGTCCGGTACAGGGAGGAGGCACAGCCCCTGGCGGGGGTCCAGCTCCACCATAAACCACTGTGAGTGGTGACAAGGCCGCTCGCCGTGTCTCCATCCGGGAAACAGAAATGTGCGCTCCTGCCTGGCCTGGCCACCGCTCCGACACCATGTGCAGGCATCACACCCTGTCCATCTCCACCTCCTGAAATCGAAACTTAACTTTTAAAAATCCAAATTCTAATTATAAATGAAAATGTTACATTATCTGCAATATGAAGCAATGATGGGATGTGAGAGCCACAAAAGGTAAGCAAGATGATGACAGGCAGGACTCCATCGTGGCTTTTCTTAGTGAATTCACTGGTTTCCCATGAAAGAACAACACTGCTTTCAAAAGGAAACCTCTAGTTTTCAGTAATGTATCAGAAGCAGAGATAAATATTGTTAAGGAATAGTTTGGTCCCTTCTTCATGCAACTTAGAAGGAAACAGAAATGGATAAAAACAGAATTATCTTTACAATCAAGACTGACTGAAGACCTTTGATGTGTATTAGTATCTGATGCAATACTTACCAGATCTAGAGCAGAGCCTCCACCGAGATATTCCATTATTATCCACAATTTAGTATCCTACACAAAACAAAAAAGGAAATTATTTTTAAAAAACAAAACCAGAACAAATCACTTTAGCTAACCTAAGAATATTTTTCACTATTACTTTGGAACTAGAAATTTTATAAATACTTAACAGCAAAGAAAGTCTGTCCACATTAGTACTGTGTAGGAAAACCCGCACTAAGCCAGGGCGTCCAGGGCCCGCACCCGGCTCTCCTAGAGGCAGCACTATCTGGACCTACTGAACCGGAGTCTCGGAAAAGGGGACCAGTTTTCAAGAATCCCAGTCATGATCCTCAGGCCCAGGAGGGTTTGCCAGGCAAGAGCCAGGGGCGGTCACACACGCCCCTCCGTGGGAGTCAGTCGGAAGCACCCACACCTCACAGCCACAGGACCCAGTCGCTTCCCTTCCTCTGCCTGCAGCTCTGAGATGCACAGGGACTGGCCCTCAGTCTCTGTGAATAAGTGAGGGCGATGCCCCCCAGGAGGGCGACCAGAGCAGCCTTGCATTCACACCCTGGTTCTGCACAAAGGCAGCCAATTTCAGACACCCCAAAGGCCACCGCACTCTCTTCAGGGAGCTTTCCAGCAAAGCAGCCCCCAGCCCAGGCTTGGCGTCTGTGCCCTCTTGGCAACCCCCTCACCAGAGCCAACTCTGTGTCATTTCCCTTTGTCCCTCTTGAAGCAACTCAGCCCCCATGACTTCCAGAGTTCTCTTTTTTAAACACAAATCCCAAGGTGCCAGTATCTTGAAAACCACCAAGCAAGCAGGCAAACTTCTGCACCACCCGCTCTCCAAGGGGGGCAGCTGTGAGGTGGCCAGGAGTATGTGGGCTTGGGATCCTGACCCCTCCCTGCAGCCTGAGGGACCTGGGAAGTCATTTCCTCTCAGCTTCCGACTTGAGTGTCTAACCCAGTGACTGGCCCACAGAAACCAAGAGAGAATGACAACCAGTGACGTGGGTAACCTGCCACAGCCCCAGTAAGGTTCTGGTCCACTCCCCACTGGTAGGCTCACAGCAGCACTCACATCAGCCGGCTTCCTTGCTAAGTCATTATTTCATGTACCAGCTCTCATATGCACCAGAAAGGCAAAGAAAAAAGCACATGAAACCTCCCCAGGGCCCTCTGGCGCCTGGAGGGTGGCACCGAGCCCTCACTCTTCGGAGCCTTCCTGAGAAGGCCACTCATCCAGGCCGCGCCGCCCTCCACAGTCCAGCCACCGACTCTGATGGGGCCTGCTTTCGGGAACATGTCACAGTTTCTCAGTTGGGACAACCCGCACCTGCTTCCCTCGCCCCTTGTGAACTTTTACGTTAGCCCTTTGGTCTGATTTTCATTTTGGATTTACTTGTTTGCAACAATGAACAGCAATGAAGCACGTGAGGGACGGCCAAGCTTGGCGAAGGGCAATCACGGTGCTCTGCCCAGGGAAGGGCCCGTTACGCTGGCTGTATATTCACTTCGGAGGCTCAAATAACATTGTAAAATAAATCCCTTTTAAAATCTAAAATAAATCCTGACATTTGGAGTCAGTTCTATGATCGTCTAAATAGAGTCCATGGTTTACTGAACACTTTCTCAAGCTTTTAAACACCCTTGATTACTAATATGAAGACAATCTCACTCTTGATAGGAAAAGGGACAAAAGTCTTAAATGATGTGTTTGGGATCCACTTTGTAGATACAAGCATTTTACTCACTCAGTAACCTGCCAGCCACGGGTGCTGACCTTGGACAGGCCCCAGCGCCCTCTGGTTCTGATTCCGAGAAAACATCCTACCAGAACACATTCTCGAAACTTCCTCCCACTTCACAAATGTGCCCAACAGCACAATTCCATAGCATCTGCTCTGGTAGAACATTTGTGTTGCTCTGTTTAGACATTCTAAAGGTACTTTGCCTGTTAGCTATGAACAAACTATTCCAGGGAATGACCAGGATCATTTTGGATGACACAGGAAATCAAAATTGTTGCTCTTAGGAACTTGGAACTTCAAATATTTACTTCTAACCCTTTTTTATGATGGTGTTTGACCCAGTTCCCACCCCTTTTATTTTACAAGCAATAAGAGTGAGTTTGCTAACAGCTCTCAGCAGGTAGGTAATCTCACTCTGGGCCCCATCTAGCTGGCCGTGCAATGGGACGACACCCTGAGAACCACTTTTGCTGACTTGGGAGATTCGAGCGTCACCACATTTTCCTGAAACAGCAAGACACCAGCGACCACACCCTGTCTGCCTTCCAAGTTCCTCCTCCTAAACCCCCTGCTGGGTTGGCCCAGCAGGTAGCTCACTACCAGGGAAACAAAATTACCCTTTAAACATGCTACTTCCTCCTTTCAGGGACCCATACAAGGGAGAAAGTGACCCATTTACCCATGCTACTTACTGTCTCAGAGGCATTTCAGCAACAGCCCAACAACTGGCCATCTAGGTGCTCCCAGCTGGAGACTAAAACTCCATCCTTTCCGTGCAAAGACTTTGCAGTCCTGGAGAAGGAAACGATAAAAACGCCAGCCTGCTTCTACTTCCATGCAGCTTGCCCCTGGTGCCAGCTGTGCTGGGGTGTGAATACGCCCCAAGCACCAGTTCCTCCAGATCTAGGGCACTCAGGAAACCAGCATGAGGCCCTTTATCCAGGCCACTGCTGCTTAAATGCCCTCGCTAGGTCCTATGACTAAGGGCTTTTGTCCCCAGTTCCACTGGCCCCACCATTCAGGGAATGTACACGTTGCATCATGAAAGGTTCCACTGGTCGCCAGCTCTCGGATACACCTGCTTTCAACCCCACTGGCTGTGCTGTTCACTCGCGTGTGGCGTGGAGAGTCCACGAGGCAGTGCAGGAGGCAGGGGAGGCCACTTCGGCAGCTGCCCCGGCTCCTGCTCTCTGCGCCCGGCACGCAGCTGCCGGTGGGCCACTGAGCAGCCTCTAGGGGGCAGCACCGGGAGGGAGGAGGGGGAACAACTGCTCTACAAATTGTAACTGTCACCATGAGGGGAGCAAAGAAAAGGTACAGCAGGGCCACGCCAGATCTCAGTCAGAACCATGGGTTTTATAAGCTGGCACCGGGGTCAGGGAGAAGTGGAGGGAAAGGACAAGCGGTGGCAGAGCGGCAGGAGAGACCTAACGAAGGTGGGCAAAGGACGGGGCCGGGTGGGGGTGACCTGAGAAGCAACAAAGAAAGGCTGACCTTGCAGCCCTCACCAAACAGTGGACTTTCTCCTAAAAGTCTTGGAAAGGAACAGAGCAGACACTGGTTTTGGAGTAAACGCTGGATGTGTGAGAAGGGGCGAGGGAGGAGGCAAAAGCCCAGTGGGAGAGGCTTGGTAGGCGGAATGACGGGACTGGGGGAGCCCAGGGAGGTCGGGGCGACCTCTGGGAATGCAGGCCCACCCGGCAACCGGCACGGAGCCCTGGGGAAGGAGGAAGGGGGAACAGTGACTTTGGACAGGTTGACAAAGACGTCCACAAGCCATTCAGGTATCAAGAGTAAACCTCTTTTTGCTCTTTAAAACAAACAGAACAATTTAGTGCTTTTAAAATATCCGATAGCTTCTCATGAATTCCACATACTGTTCTGGTGAACCAGCCCTCCACAGGCCTGCACACACCTGGCTCCTCATCTCACCTGCACTGTCCCCTCTGGCTCCGGGTCCCGTCTCTGGGCCCAAAGCATCCACATGCCCCCATCCAGCTGCAGCAGTGCTCTCTGTGCGCCCACCAACCCCACCCCCAGGTGCCCATCCCACCAGTGCCCCCACACGCAGTGCATCCCCTCCCCTGGCGCCTTCAGTCCTCTCCGCAGCTCTGCCCAGGGGACTCGATCCTGTCACCTTCCCTGACTCTTTCCCAGGGACCCACGAGCACCATGGGTTTTACTTTGCTCCTCCTTCCCCAGCCAGAATTCCCAAACGATTGCCCCCAGCTGTTGTTTTCTTCCCTAAGGAAAAGGAAGGGCGAAGAGTAAACTTTGCCTCCCTCATAACCAGGGTGAGGACAGCAGGCAGTGGACACCATGGGAATGGAGCAGAGGGCAGGACACTGAGCCAGCAGGCACCCCAGATGCAGAAGAGAGCCCACAAGGTGGCAGGGGCAGCCTTGCGCCTCCAACACCGACGCGTAATCAACAGACAGAACAGGTCTCGTAAACCTGCTGTCAGTCATGATCCCAAATGATCGTTTCTACCACATTCATCCTAAAATAAACATTCTACAGGGAGCAAACGGATAAGCTTGGGAAAATGAAAGATGCGCTTTGAAGGTTGCAGGCAAAGCACCCCACTTCCCCACCCCACCCCACCCCCAACACACACACCAGTACTTCTCAGCCTTGGCACTACCGACACTTGAAGTTGGAGAATTCTACGTTGTAGGGGTGGCCCTGTGCATTGCAGACACCACCCATGACCCTCCACCCACTAGATGCCAGTAACACACCCCAGATCTGATAACTGAAAGTCTCCAGACATTAGCAACATCCTGAGGGCCAAAATCGCCCCCGTTGATAACCACTGAACTGCACCATCAGTGTTGATAAGCTTGCAGTGTCGCTGCACCAGAAGTGCTGACTGTTAATTCTCTGCTTATTCTTAGCAGAGTCAGTTCATACCAGCTAGAAGATGATCACTAATTCACTGTGAGGCAGCTATAAGCTTCAAATTCCTTATCCATAAAAAGATGGCAATAATCTCCATGTCTCTAAACCTCACAGCTCAATGAACAATAAAATGAGATAATGAATGTGAAAGCACTTTGCAAAGTTCAAGGTACTAAATACATGCAGAGTGCTATTAGTTTTATCAACCCATAAATGCCCTAAAATAACCTGGCAAAACCAAAATAGGCCAGTTAACAAGACTAAATACAAGATTCTCTGCATGGGAGTTTCTGAGCAGAATAAAATCTGGAACAATGATTCATATACATTCTACACAAGGATGAAAAAGTAATTATTGCCCTACAAGCCTAAGGCAGGAATATCTGAGAAGGATGTTCTGAAGGGACACAATGG